AAAATAAAAATAAAAATACAATGATTTTCAGGGCACCTGGATGGCTCAGTTGGTTAAATGTCTGACTCTTGATTTCAGCTCAGGTTATGATCTCAGGGTTGTGAGATGAGTCCTGTGTTGGCTCTGCGCTCAGCGGGGAGTCTGGTGGAGATTTTCTCTCCTCCTCCCTCTAATCCTCTGCCCTTGCTCTCTCTAAAATAAATAAATAAATCTTTTTAGGGGGCACCTGGATGGCTCAGTCGGTTAAGCATCTGCCTTTAGCTCAGGTCATGATCCTCAGGGTCCTGGGATTGAGCCCTCATCAGGCTCTCTACTCAGCAGGGAGCCTGCTTCTCCCTCTCCTCCCCATTCATGTTCTCTCTTGCTATCTCTGTCTCTCTCAAATAAAAAAATAAAAATCTAAAAAAAAAAAATACAGTGGTTTTCTAGTGGTAAAATGCATTCATTTAAGTTTTGCATTGAATTCCCATGATAGAGGTGTGAAGGAGGTATTACTAACACTTATTATTACCTTCTTTTACATTTGAGAAAATGGGATTGGTCTGATTGACCTTTCCACTTCCCAGTTAGCAAGTGACAGTTAGAAATTAAACCCAGGACTTCAGACTTTAAGCATCAGTTTCTTTGTTAAATGAGATTTTTCATACGTTGCAGCTCAAAAGAAAGAAGGAATTAGTACCTGTTTTCTATAAATGTGATAGATACTCTATCCTTACACGTAACATGTAATTCATTTTATAAACATAATTATAACTTCAGAAAATAATTCACAGTAAGACTCAGACTTGTTGCTATATTAAAGTGTTTGGATTTTAAAAAAATGTGATTTCTATGCAGCTTTTTGAGGATAGATTGTTTATACAGTATCTCTGGTATAACGCTAGAGGGGCAGTGTGGGGTAGTGCGATGGTTTCACCCATGAATGGGCACAGGAATTACTTGGGAGTTGAATAGCTCTGTGGAGCTCAAGAAACTCTCCAGGTAATTCTGGTAGAAGTGGTCCAGGGACAATCCTTAGACAAACACTGGCTTTAGTGTTTCATACATACACACAATATCTGTTTCATAAGATGGTTGTGGTGATTTAATATATGATATTGTTGTCATTCTTGGGACAGAACCTGGTACATAATAAATGTTCAGAATATTTCATTCGTATGTGATGGCTTCGGTAGCAAGTAAGAAGCAAGAGAATATTTGTTTTTTCAACAAAATTTGTTGAATTCCAGCGCTATTCTGGCTGTTTGGTTATAAAGGGGAAATGGACACGTTCCTCACTTTTGTTGAGTTTATTTGATTAATAGACTCATTTTAAAGGTATAGTACTTCCCTTGTAACAAAATTGTAAGATGAAATGAATATTAAAGGTATGTTTGTATAATTACTTTTTCCCTGTAAATTAAAAATCATTTTTTATTTGAATGAGGATCACAGATTAAAATTATAGCCTGAATATTACTATTTCTCATTTTATTGTTGCTCTAAAGCTATATTTTCCAATACAGTGCCATTAGATGCTTGCAGCTATTTAAGTCAATTAAAATTAAATAACATTAAATATTTAGTTCCTCAGCTATACTAACCACATTCCAGGTGCTCGATAGTCACAGGCAGCTGGTGGCTGCTGTATTGGAGACAGAATATTTCCATCATCATAGAAAGTTCTGTTCATCTGTGTTGCTCTAGGGTCCAGAACAAAGCAGGGAATTTTTCCAGTTGCCTTGATCTGTAAACTGATTTTGAAGTAAATATCAGCAGTGGCCCGAGGCTGTCATTTCAATGCTTAAGTGCATTAATAACCTTTCAGGTTGACCAAGCCCAGAGCTAGTATCGATTTCCCCAAACAGTTTCATTAACCAGCGAGTGAGATCTAAATGCTAATATCTGGACATTTTTTTAAACCTTCAACTGATAAACTTATCCTTTTGCTTTATGTAGAGCTTTTTGTGTATGTGTGAGAATTTACCTCCATAATGTTATGATTGCATTAAATTTGTATCTAATAAACTTTTGGGGGCAAAGAAGAGTTGCAGTTGTACCTATATTTCTAGAATTTACAATATTTACATGACATAATTTATGTATAGAAGCCAAATTCAAGAGTAGTGAAAAGTTGGATTAATACTGTCTAGTCAGTATTCTAGATAAAACCCCAATTATAGTTATGAAATATCAATTATACATTTAGTATTTTGATAATTTTAAAACTAAACGTTTGTTCAGTGTATGTTTTTTTGTTGTTAAAACTGTAAGATGGTGTAGCACCTGCTACATTCTGATGTCTAGACCATGAATGCATTTTCTGTGCAGAGTTCAAGGAGCAGTTTGCAAGAGTAGTTTACTTCACCTCTTTTTCCTGCATGTGAGTATCTAGATATACATAGAGAGAGAGAGAGAGAGAAAGAGGTCTTGCATCTTTTCTTCAGGCTTTGGTGGTATCCCTTTTTGAGAAGAGAAACAATAGGAGACTGCTGTCACTTGGTCCCAGGTCATGGATCAGAGCAATTAGAAGAAAAGAAATTCTCTTGTACATTTCTGCCTTCTTCAGTGATTTTCCCTCTTTCCAGATCACTTACTTCAGCCTCTGGTACCACAACAAGCAAAATCAGCGCCGGTGGGTAGATTTGGAAAAACCTCTCAAGAAGCAGCTGGATAAATATGCACTGGAACCGACCGTCTATTTTGGAGTGGTGTTTTATGTGCCTTCAGTTTCACAGCTGCAGCAGGAGATTACCAGGTGAGAAATAACACGTTCTTTGTTTTTAGGAAATAATCTGATGAGATGAAAAAGGGGACACTAAGGTTGAAGTCAGAAGATCAGACTAAACGTGGGCCTCCTGCGCACTTATGCAGCCACATTATTACATGGAGGTTGTGGTATGTGGTGTATCAGAGTGTTTTACTGCGTGTTGCATGAGTTATGGTTTCACTAGACACAAAGGAGCGATTAAAGGGGAAGATGATGTTTTCTCCGGGCTGTGAACTCTTCTTGTAGTGATGTCCTCTTCAAATTTTTTGTTGATTTATTTCTGATCTTTGTAACACTGAAATGAGAGAGGAGATTTTAAAAAGTCGCAGATTCTGTGTTCATTCCTCAGGGAAATGTGCAGAAGGGTTCTTCTGGTTCTCTGGCTCTAGGAGCTGTATATTCTGTAGATAGGTGGGAGGGTGAATGTGTCTAGGGTAGAAGAAGAGGCCACTAAGTGCACTTAGAAGGGACAAAGTCAGAAAGGGAAGATCAGATTAAGGAGTGGGATAGAGGAACTATATGTTTTTTTTTTTTCTTGAAGACAAAACACAAAACTAGGAATAAAATTTGGATCCAGGAGTCTGCCTTTCAAGTTCTCTCAAATCCACCATTACCTTATCTTTTGAACCCAATTTAACATTACTTTTCAGCCAAGCTGGACTACTCCCAGTGCCCTGAACATGCCGCACGCCTTTTCATCTTTGGGTCCTAGATCTTTCTTATTTATGTACTGAAATCCTGCTCTTCCTCTGAATTTTAGTTCAGAAGGCACCTCCTCCATGAAGTTTCTGTGATCCCTAGGCTGGAATGACCTTTGCCTTCTCCAGACTGCCCTATAGTTCGCTTGTACTTGTGTTAAGATGGAAGCTGTTATAGCCTTTCCTTATAGTTGTTTGTGTACAGATCCTATCTTTTTCTTGGATTTTAAACCTCTGTTTTCCTTAGCTTTACCTTTCACACAATATCTAACACAGTGCCCTGTAGATAGTAAGAACCTGGTACTGCCCTGTGTTTGTGTAATATTCTTTTTGAGTACTGAGTTGGCCAGTTAATTATCAGAAGAAGATCGAAAACCAAAGAAGCAAGAATCAGGTAGTAGGGATAAATATACCCTGACTATAAAACTGATCTGAGATGAAAAATACTGAAGAGAGAAGTAGAACCCGGGAGGAAAAATAGTAACTGATCACTGACTCATTTATTTAAACATTCATTGAAGATATAACAGGATGATGTAAGAACATTTGTTACTGTGGGAGATGAATATTCAAGTGAATAGGCTTTAACCCTACCCTGGAGGAGTTACTCAGAGTCTGGTGGAACTGACAGCCCATGTAAATAAACAATTACAGTATATTATGATGATAAATGCTTTCATTAAAACACTAGATTCCTAGGAGTGGGGTGCGGGGAATAAGAACAGGGAAGAAAAAGAAGTTGACTTCGCTTGACTTTAGGAGTTTTCTAGTTAGAGTGGGTAGCTTGTGCAGAGTAGGGGAGAGAATGAAAGTCACTGATGTTTTCTGGAAATTTCAGATATTACCTGGAGAGGAGAGAGGAGATTTGAAAAATAGGAATGTCCTAGTCATAGTCGTGGTACAACAGGGAAAGACATTTTCGAATTTTAACAGAATGGAAAGATGACATTTGTATTTTACCAACTTCACCCATCATGGAAGGCAGCTTAGAGGTGGCAAGACTATATACATACTTAGGAGAGCAGTTAGGAATGTATATGCCACAACCTAGACATTAATCGAGAATGTGGACCTGAACAAAGGCATTAGCTGTAGGAAGGAGAGGGAGACAGGCCTGGTAGTTGCAGTCAGTAGGAGTGCACATCGATGAGGTGTAAGAGAACCTGTTAGAGAAGTTGTACCAGTGAGGATTAAGTTTGGCTAGTATAACCAAAAACCCTAAATATCTTTCATTTCTTAAAGGAAGCCCAGAGGTCAGCCATGCTCCACAAAGTCTTCAGGGACCCATGCTCTTTCTTACTGTTCCACCCTCCTCAGCATGTTCTTTCCTTGTGTTAGGGAATCTCATTGTCAAAGAATTCTGGAGGTCTCGCTATTATATTCGTATTCCAGGCAGCAAAAGGGTAAAATGGGTTCTACTCTCAGCAAGGTCACCTTCCTTTACGAGGCCTTTCTCAGTTCCTCAGTCACACTAGCCACATTTTAAGTACTCAGTAGCCGCATGTGGCTAATGGCTAACATATTGGACAGGACAGATAGACATCACTTTTATCACTGCAGAAAGTTCTGTTAGACAACACTGCTCTAAACCTAACAGTTCACAGGAAGAATTGCAGACTAGATGAACATGTTAAATGACCCTACAAGAGTGCAATCAGACAAATCCAGAATGTGAGGACTTCTGCATGACCCATCACACCATTTTGAATACAAGTAACATGAAAATAAAGAGGAGGAGTTTTTCTTTTTGAAATTAAGAGAGAAATGTCAATCGAATGTACTCTGTGGAACTTGTTTAGACCCTGATTTTTTTTTTTTTTAACTGTAAAAATACATTTTTGAGGGGCTCCTGGCTGGCTTAGCCGGTAGAGCATGTGACTCTTGTTCTTGGGGTTGTAAGTTCAAGCCCCATGTTGGTTGTAGAGATTACTTAAAAATAAAATCTTTAAAAAAAAATACATTTTGAAGCAATCACAACAGTTGCACATGGACAAGGTATTGGGTAGCATTAGGGCATTATTGCTCATTTTGTTGGGTATGTTAAAAATGTGTGTGTGTTCTTTTAAAGCTTACGTTTTAGGGATATATACTAAAATATTTGTAGGTGCTGTACTATGATATCTGGGATTTGATGTAAAGCCCTTGGGTGGGGAAGGAGAGAGGGTGGAAGAAACAGCGTGGATCAAGTTGATGTTTGAGGCTGCATGATAAGGATGTGTGGGTTCACTAGACTTGTTCTCTATGTTTCAAAAGTTCCATAATAAAACTTAAAAATGCCAATACCTCCACATTAGCCTTCTAATACTAGCCTAAGAAAAACAAGTGAAGGAAAGAGACTGTATCTCTTTATATATTATTTGAAATTTCTCTTGGGCAAAATGGGACAACCTAATTTATTACAATTACTTAATGTAATATTTCTTGTGTAAAAATATTTTATATTAGAAAGTTGATAAGTTGGTAAGATTTAGATAAAACTTACCCATTTAGTTGTAATCAGCATTTGGCTTTGGGCGAATTTATGGAATGTTTGTTTAGAATTAAGATGTGTGGGGTGCCTGGGTGGCTCAGTTGGTTGGGCGACTGCCTTCGGCTCATGTCATGATCCTGGAGTCCTAGGATCGAGTCCCACATCAGACTCCCTGCTCGGCAGGGAGTCTGCTTCTCCCTCTGACCCTCTTCCCTCTCATGCTCTCTATCTCTCATTCTCTCTCTCTTAAATAAATAAATAAAATCTTTAGAAAAAAAAATAGAATTAAGATGTGCAGTTTCTTGAATTCAGAACTGTAAGGAATAAAAGTTTGCATGTTACATTTTATTGCTGTGTTGTTTTTTAATTATTCTTTTTGTAATAAACATTGAAAAAACATATTTGTAAACCATCCTTAGCCTCACCAACACATTATAATTTAGCAAAAAGTGTTAAAAAAAAACTGATAATACCTTTGAAGTAAAATTTCTTGGTCCTTTCCTTTTAAGTAAATACGTACATATATATATACACGTATGGATACACACATACATGTATATAAACATATACACATACATATGCATGTGTATATATATACACACCCTGCTTGCTTCCACTAAAGGACTTTAGGGGCAATACAATGAAAGATAATAAGAGCAACTACTTCCCTTTCTTACTCTAGGTCAGGCACTGTTCCAAGCACTTTATACTTAATCATTCATTTAATCCTCACAACAAATCCTACAAAGTAGGTATTACTGTCCAGTTTGTAGTTGAGGAAGCCAAGACACGGAAAGACCGAAAGGCTAACTATCTTGCCCAAGGTCACACTGCCAGTATGTAGTGGAGCTGGGATTTAAACTCAAGCAGGCTGACTCCTGAGTCCTTGCTGTCAACCATTGTATTCATATGGACTCTAGGATAAAAAAACTAGAGATAGGATAAAAATACTAGAAAAGTCCTTAACTGGAGATCTGTGACAGTTACACATATGTACTTTGCAGTCATTCTGACCTGGATTCACACTCCAGCTCAGCCTCCCTTTGTGGATTTGAGCATATTACTTCATGTCTGAGTTTCAGTGCCTCATCAGTTCAGGTCGCTGCTATTATATGGTGGACCAGTGGTTAAGAGGGTAACGAGAGGGGAAACACTGTGCCTGTGCCTGGATTCTAGCTCTGAGCTTCATGGCACTCAAGGCAAAAGAAGGAATATTCTGAGTCCCATCATCCATTATCTGATAAAAAGCATATCAGTTTGCAAACATGACAGATTTTCTTGGTGTATCATTTAAAAGGAAATTTTCAGGTGGGATTTATGTAAAAGACATTGAACAGGAATGAACAATTTAGAGCAACTATGGAGGAATCAACTCTTACAATAAAAAATTGTAATGCAAAGCAAAAAAACAAAACAAAACCACATTTCTGTGGAAGACTAAGTTAATTTGGTCCAGTATGTTGCTTTCCAGTGATTTGGTTTAAGGAAAGAACCTAGAATATATTTCCAGTGGTGTATGTGGATGGTGTGTTCAAGAGATAGACTTCTCTCAATACAACCTTCTTTAAATAGGCTTCTGAAAGGAGCTGCCTCGTAGAAGGTGTGAAGTTTTCTTCTTTGACTAGATCCCAGAGCTACCAGCGTCCTGCTTCTCATCTGAGGGAAATCTATGGGTTCCGCTACTAGCAGGCAGAAGGGCATCAGCTGGATCTAAGTTCTCATCTGAATGGATGGTGTTTTGGTCAGGTTTTTGGGTAATGAAGAATGGAGACCTCAGAGCTAGCTAAAATAAAAGAGGATGATGTTAGGAAACCTATGAAATGATGAAAGGGATGGGCTCCAAGGGGAATTCAAATACAAATGGTGACTAGGTTGTACTTCACAGATGCCAAACCTGGGAGAGAACCTGGATTCAAGATGGCTCTATCGACAATACAGGCAGAGAGGTGGTGGATCTTCATCCAACATTGTATCCCCAGCATCTAGCGCAATGCTTGATGCATAGCAGGCCCTAGTAATTATAGGTTAAATGAATAAATAAAAGGAAGGCAGCATTAAGTCACTGTAGAGCTTTGTCAGAATGGAGTAGATACAGATGAAACACTGCTGACTGCTTAATATGTTCCATCTTGTGAAGGGGTGATCGTACCCCTCTTTTACTGGTGATCATTTAAAGCCACAGATTATGATTTGCCCAAGTTCATTCAACATGCTACATTGGGGAGCTGGAATTTAACCAGATCTGCTTGACAAAAGCTTGTGCTGGTAACTCGTGCCCTAGATGTTGAAAGTGTAAACAGAAGTAAACCCACATTACAAGAATATTAAGAAAGCATCATAGCAGCTCTTCTTTTGGAGAGTTCATCAAAAAATATTTTAATATAAGCCTGGTTTGAAATATCAGGAAGCGTTTTCTCTTGGCTTTACTTTCTAGGGCTAGGGAACCTCCATCAGAACAAGTAATTTCTACCAAAGTCTTGTATTACCGGGTTACTAGTCAGAGTTTTTAAAGTAAAGATTAGCCATGGATTCTCTGTTTCTCCAACTGAAGAGAACAAAATGTAGGAACTGTCTTACAGGGCACTAGAAAGGTGACCAGTTGCAGTTGTCTTCTAGGTGGTTGTAGCTTTGAAATAACTACAGTTAAGGATAAGGGACTCAACAAATTGATTACATTGTGTGTGTGTGTGTGTGTGTGTGCGCGCGCGCGCGCGCCCACGCGCGTGCCCATGTATGTGTGTGTAGGCATAGATATGGTCAAGGGCATTCTTGTCATTTTTTGAAGCCATCTGGGGTTAAGGTTTTCTTTGACTAGTTTATGCTCCTCTACTGAATTACTGTAAAATGCATTGTGTCTCCACTGGAGGTAATATTAATATTGACTTTTTAAAATTGACATTTTTTTGTAGGTATCAGTATTATCTGCAGCTGAAGAAAGATATCTTGGAAGGAAACATTCCTTGTACATTAGAACAAGCAATTCAGCTAGCAGGCTTAGCTGTTCAAGGTAAATAATGGTAATTGATAATGTAATACATATATGAGATTAAGATGTGTGTTATAACAAGGGTGCCTGGCTGCCTCAGTCGGTGGAGCATGCGACTCTTGATCTCAGATCTCTTGAGCCCCATGTTGTGTGTGGACATAACTTAAAAAAATAAAGATCTTAAAAAAAAAAGTGTTTTGGGGCACCAGCGTGACTCAGTCCTTTTAAGTGTCTGCCTTCAGCTCAGGTCATGATCCTGGAGTTCTGGGAGATTGAGCCCCTCATCTGGCTCCCTGCTCAGTGGAGACTCTGCTTCTCCCTCTCCCTCTGCCCCACCCCACCCCACCACTCATGTACTCTCACACTCTTCTTTCCCCCTTACTCTCTTTCTCTCTCAAATGGATAAATAAAATCTTAAAAAAAAAAAATGTGTGTTATAACAAAAACAGCAAGGGACTCTTCAAGTTACTGTTTCTATAATAGTGTTTATGTGTTAGCGAAATTAGTTTTCTTGTAGGAAAAAATGAATTTGGATTACTTCTGTGAAATAAGAGACTTCAAAAGGTTAAGCATGTTAGCGTATGTCAATAGAGCAAACAGACCAAAATTAGAGAAAACACACACACACACACACACACACACACACACAGCATTTGATAATATGTATTCCTCTAGTTCAGGGATGATCTATAGCTAACTAATATTTTAGGAAGAAAGATCAAACAATGAGGTTGATAAAGTTATCTTTACTTATACTATTTTTTCCTTTAATGATTTACTTATTTATTTTTGCGGAGAGAGGGGTGGGGAGGGACAGAGGGAGAGAATCCTTAAGCACACTCCCTGCTGAGTGTGGAGCCTGATGCAGGGCTCGATCCCAGGGCCCCAAGATCATCACCTGACCTGAAATCAAGAGTTGGGCACTTAACTGACTGAGCCACACAGGTGCCCTTCTGTTCACTTATACTCTAAGCGTACACCATTTATTTGGTTTCTTATGCACTTGTCCTGGATTATAGAGCATTGTCAATCATAATAGGTAAAGTTTTGCATTTTACAAGTAATTTTGAATTACTTGGTTCTGTTATTTTTCATGTCTAGTCAATATGTATTTACATGTATGTATATACTTTGGGATGACTTCTGATGGGGCATTATTTCAAATGATAACTGGCATTTAATCTTGGAAATTGAAACTTAATCAGAAGAATCATTGGCTTTAAGAGCTTTTCATAAGGTCTTTGCTGAGCTATCATTTTTTTTTTTTAAACAACGAAAAATCTCTAAACAAATACATCTTGCTGTAACATCTTCAAGTGATCTGATTCCATTCCCTAGAGGTGATCACTGCTATGAACAGTTTGGTTTCTTCCTGACATCTTCCTGTGCATAAGTAAGAACATGTGATTATAGAGTATGTTTTGTTTCATTGTTAATTATTAGAAATGAGATCATAATACATATAGTTTGTAACTTATTTTTTCACTTTATTAGTAGGCATTTTTCCAAGTCAAGACACATGAATCTACCTAATTAATATTTTTAAAAAGACTTTTTAAAATACACACTTTAGGGCGCCTGGGTGGCTCAGATGGTTAAGCGTCTGCCTTCGGCTCAGGTCATGATCCCAGACTGCTGGGATCGAGTCCCGCATCGGGCTCCCTGCTCCTTGGGAGCCTGCTTCTCCCTCTGCCTCTCTCTCTCTCTCTATCATGAATAAATAAATAAAATCTTTAAAAAAAAAAAATAAAATACACACTTTATAGCTGTAAGGCACATTTGACTTCTAAATCATAAGCATACCGTCTATATACTGCATATTGAATTTAGTTGTGCATGTTTTCCTGTGCAAATTAAATATAATTGACATGAATATTTGTCATTTTGTATAGCTGATTTTGGTGACTTTGATCAGTATGAGTCCCAGGACTTTCTTCAGAAATTTGCCTTGTTTCCTGTGGTAAGAACTTCTTTTGACATTGGGCTTTTTATAAATAGTTTATTTCCATAACCTTAATATCGCCTGCAATGAAGTCCATATGGTAGACTTACTAGGCTGGAAGAGTTAAAAAATCATTTGCCTCTTAGAAACAACTCAAGTGTAAATGCTTCCCTCCTTGTAGTCTCACTGGTCTTTGTAACCCACAGAAAAGGAAGGGTGTGCAGTCCCTGGGCTGCAGCCAGAGAGGTTTGTTTTGTGTTTGGGTCTGAGAGAGGGATTCACTTCCAACTTCTGAGCAACCACACAGAGGTTTTGCTTTTACCTGAAGGCTCAAAACCTTACAGTTATGTGGGAATGAGTTCGGCTTCTCAGTAGCAGTGTAAAAAGTAGAGGGCAAAAGGACAGTGCTGTCTGCTTTTTAAAGTCACTATGGGTGTGACTGACAGGAAAACCGCATTGGAACAACGAAGGGAGCGGGGTACAATGCTCTTCTGGGTGTACACCGCCAGCCAGGCAGTGCCCGACATGTGCTGGGCTCGGAACTGGCTGATGGGCGTTACCGACCTGACATAACTCAGCTGGAACTTTCTCTGGGATGAACTGAGAAGGCAGGGCAGGTGTTTTGGGTCCTGAGCAGAAGCTACTTCATTCCTTAGCAAGATCATGATCACATACTTAAGCAAATCTTCCACATACCGATACTAGTCCGAATTTTGCCCGAGAGTGGTAAGAGCCACTAACAGTCAGTAGCTTGTTGCCATACTTACTGCAGTGTGTTTTCTTCAGGGGTGGTTACAAGATGAAAAAGTATTGGAAGAAGCAACCCAGAAAGTGGCCTTACTGCATCAGAAATACAGGTAACACTAAGAAATAAGAAATGGCGAGAGTACGGAAGCGAAGCTGGTTTGACCGTGAACTGTGTATTGACACAGCGACACTTGGCACTTTACCGCTGCCGTAGCTGGGACTGTGACTGTGGGTCGCCAGCAGCGTGGCACACTCATGGTGCTCTAGGGGCTGCCCCGGGCGCTTCCCCTATCAGCTCACTTAGTAGCCATGTTTACCAATGAGGAAGCAGAGAAAAGTGAAAGCCGCCGGTTGGGGAAGGGCGCCACTTCTTCACTCCTCCGTTAAAGGTTTTGGTGGTAACGTGTGTAGTCCGTGTGGGTTAATGCAAGAGCAGGGAGACTTGTTTTCTTTGACCGTGCAGCACATATAGCACCCCTCCCCCCCCGCCTTGGTACACCTTTGGATGATGCATCTCAGTCTTCTGGGGGAATCTGTGCCAAGAGCCCCACGTGGTGCTTATTGCCCTGACCCCTGCATCTGGGTCGGTGATGACTTTCTTTGGTAGTGCATCTGTTGTGCCTTCTGTAAGAAAAATCCTCCCCCAGAGAATGCTGGGTCTTCCTCTAAAACAAGTACCACAGGGTTCCAAGTACTTTCGATGTCATTACGTTCTTATAACCACTCTTTAAGATAAATGATATTCTCTTCTTACAGATTGGAAAAACCAAGCTCAAAAGGACTAAATCACTTGCCCATAGTTACCTGTGGCAGAGCTGGGATTTGAGCCCAGGTCTATCTGATTATATCCTTAAATAAATAAAATCTTAAAAAAAAATAAAAAGATAGTTCAGTACTACTATTCTGTATGAGGCTGGATGCTGTGGCACGAAGATAAATAGAACACTTCCCTGCCATCAAAGAATGTATTCCCTGCTTTGAAGTCTAAAGAGCAGGCAGGATGACCCATTGGGATAGTAATTATAAACTAACAATGTGAGATGAGTGCAGTGGGGGAGGTGTGCATAGAATGTGGTGGGTCTGCACAGAGCAGGGGCATCTGACTTACACTCAGAGCAATCACAGGACAACATAGGCCGACTCTTTGAGGATGTTAGGGATTGATCAGGTGCACGGGTGAATGACAGATGTGCCAGGAAGAGGGATGAGCATGCACAGAGGCCCAGAGGCATGAGGGAACATCATGGCTTGGTTGCAGTGTGGGCTGCCTTGTGGCTTTGGGGGAGCAGCAGAGGATGAGGCCAGGGAGGCGAGTCTCCATGCAGTTGAGCACCTTCTTTACCCGCACGGCCTTCCTACCCATCCTCGTAATTTACAGTCTTTTAACCCTTATTTCCTGCACCGGTCATTTGACATTTAGCACACAATGCTTAGTAATGCCTGATATTTTAGATAATGAGCAATTACTGAATGGCTTAGAAAGAATTCCAGCTTTCAGTGAAGATTTTTTAGGGATTTTTATTCTCCGTGTCCCTCTTGCCTGCCTGAAGTTCAGGGAGAGGATCCTTATGACTAACCCTCAGGGTTTAGCACAGTGCTGTGCACGTAGCTGGTTTTCAGTCTATGTTGATGGGTTGGTATAACGAATTTCAGATGCTTCAGAACTTGAAATATTTGTAAATGTCTAATGCCAAATTGATATGTAGCTTTTTAGAATAGCCTTTTGTTCTTTTTTTCCCTTTCTGGTTTGGTGATCAATCTCCCATTTCTTGGGTTGCAGAAGGCTCACCGCTCCTGATGCGGAAATGCTGTACATGCAGGAGGTAGAGAGAATGGATGGCTACGGAGAAGAGAGCTACCCTGCAAAGGTGAGCATGGCGCAGAGCCGGGGTTCTCCAGATTAATGTCAGGAGCTCTGAGAGGACAGTGGGGAGGCCCAGGGACACCCTGCTGTGACGAGGCGGGAGATGTGCGGAAGTCTGGAAACTTGAAAGCGGAGATCCTGTGACCAAAATTTCACAGTAAAACATTCCTGTTTTGCAGTTTGTTCTGTGAAATGCTCTTGAAGTCTAGTTCCTTAAGGAGCCCAACGCTTCCTATTTTCATAGCTATTAACAAGGTGATTCCTTGATACTGTTCAGACTTTGCCCTCCGGTGTAGATCTTCTGAGCATCTTTTGTCTGGGAACCCAGCCCAGGGAGCTGGGTGTGGTTGTCACACCTCTCAGGCACCTGCTGCCAGACTGCTGCTCTCTGTGCTTTCTCCTTCCAGGATAGCCAAGGCAGTGACATATCCATTGGAGCATGTCTTGAAGGGATCTTTGTGAAACACAAGAATGGAAGGCCTCCTGTGATATTTAGGTACTTTTCTTACATCCTCCTGTGCACTTCCGGTGGCTCCTCCCGGTGACAGTTTTTAGTACCTATACTAGTAATATGGCCCACAAATCTCTCCCAGGGTCTCAGTAGGAAATGGAAGGATGCCCTTCCTAGAATAAAATAACTTATCCCCGACTACAGTGGTTCTTTCATGAGCCCCTTTCTTTAAAACCAAATGTGTGGGAAACAATGCTTGCAATGATGGCCTGCTTAGGAAATGCTTAAAAGTGTGTGAACCTTTTCTTGCCATATGGAGGCCATTCTTTGTTTTGATGTGAGTTTTTAATTTCAGCTCTACCTTCTAGGACTTTCTCTTTGTTGAAAATCTGGGCCTTTCTCTGACTCTAGTTATGTACCAAAATTCCTAAAATCCCAGCGTCTAAGCAAATTTCTTTTTCTCTTTTCTTTTTTCTCCTCTCTTCTCTTCTTTTCTTTTCCTTTCTTTCTTTTTGGTTAAGTGAAGTTCAGATACTTTTGTATAATGTTCATTTTTTTTTCCTGATTGTAAAACTGTGATACTAGTCATTTGTGGAAATCTTAGAATGTATGTAGTGAGAAAGACAAAAAGGGAGGATCTATAGCAATATGCTAATAGTGGCCGACCCCAAACAATGAAATTTCAGGTGGTTTAAATTTCTGGGTTCCAAATTATATCTTAAAGATAGCAAATTGGACGATGTTGCTCAATCCCCGCCTTTTCATTCCTTAAAGTCCATACCCTAGAAAATCCAAAGTGTCATTTCATAGAAATATTTCCAATTTTACTCCAAGAGTCTATTTACTTTGATTCTATTCTTGATGAAAAATTAAAAGTTTATATTGTTTTTTTAGAGTAGTAAAACGTTATACCATTTTTGGTTCTGGGTTCCTTTGTATTTATCATGTGCTTGTGCTGAGTGCTCTCTGTATGTTTTCTCGTATGATCTTCACAACTCTGAGCAGAGGCTACGACCACCCTTTTCCACATGGGATCACTGAGACTTGGAAAATTAAGTGATTTGCTTCAGGTCACCAGTTACTAACTGGCATAACCAAGAACTCCAATTAAAGCTTTTAACCACTGTGTTAAATAGCTTCTTTTATGAAAAGGAATTTACTTCCCCACTCCTCAGGCCCTCTAAAAACCATCCTATTTCTTCTTGAGAACTGGTTTTTCCTTTGAAGATTTTTTTTTTTCTAAGCTGACATTTCTTCATTTCTTTTGCTTTACTACTGCCTTTGGGGCTCTGAATTCTCCATGGCGATTATGACCATGGAGAGTGTGCCTGGCTTGGGGAGCAGACACCGACTCCTAGACCATATTGCCTGGGTTGGGCAGTACTCCTCCTTGGCAGTTGCTCTCATGGCCCTAAGCTGCTCATTTAAGTCTTCCCAACGTGTGAGTTGGGGGACAGGAGGCAGAGAAGGTTCTGGACTGCACCAGAAGGGCAGCACTGATGGTGCCCAAAGGGCCACATGAAAACTGGAGGCAACCAGCCAGCTTCTGTCTCACTGATAACCTTTAGGTTTAACAATTAAACATTAAGTGGCACCTGGCTGGTTCAGTCGGTAGAGCATGCAACTCTTGATCTTGGGCTGTAAGTCCGAGACCCATGTTGGATATAGAGCTTACTTAAAAATAAAATCTTAAAGAAAAAAAAACCCACAATGAACATTGAATCACTGCAAATTAATTTTATTTATTTAAATAAATTTAAAATAAGTAAATCGTAATGGAGAAAGACGGGTAAAATTTTTCTTTCAGACCATTCCCCTTCATAAAATTATATAGTTATGTAATAAAATAAAATATTAATATACAAAATCTAAACGTGGTTAAGTACAGTTAGAAAATATAAGATAGGAGTTTGAATCCCAGTGAACTCATCCGGAGTCGTTCACTCTTTGGGTTCCTGGCATTTGAACTTACTCTTCACCCTGACGCTTTTCAGAGACCCCGTCCTCCACCTTTGTGCCTCACTTTTGCCTTGTATACCTGCAAAACTCAATGATACTTGCTTGCCTCTCTCTCCTCTCTCTCCCACCCTCCAACTGTGTCCCTTTGAGGGAAGCACTGTACTGTGCCTCACTGATCTTAGTATCCTGGGAACCTAACACAGTTTCTGGCATTGCTAATAATGGGTGCCCTTGAAGATGTTTGTTAAATGAATGAAGGAGGCATTGACAACCAGCTAAGATAGGGATCTTTGATCCAACCAATCTGGCAAATGAGGATAAAGAGATCTTACATTTTTAAGTACTCTTTGCCTTCACTTAGTCTACGCGCATTTACTTTTTGCGACTAGCTATTGTCACTTCAATGAGAAGATGCATGTCAGCTGATTAAAACAACTGTTTTCTTTCTAAAATGATTAACAAATGTTAACTTGACACCTCAAGCTTGAGAAGGAAAAATCATATGTTCTATCTTCTAGATAGAACTCACATTGCTCTTTTCTATTTGTTGTGTTTTAGGTGGCATGATATTGCCAACATGTCCCACAATAAGTCCTTCTTTGCATTAGAGCTGGCCAATAAAGAGGAGACCATCCAGTTTCAAACTGTGAGTAAACATTAGGAATCTGCATGGAATGTTTTTCCTAAAAGTTAACAAGTTAGCATTTCTGTGTGCGTGTTGGGGGAGGGAGGTGGCATTAAAATTGTAATACTTAATCCTTATATAAAACGTAAAATTTTATAACATTTTGCTTAATAGCCCTTGGCAAAAAGTAGTTGCTCAGTAAATGCTGTTGAATGAATGAGTCCTTGGATAAATACTATGTGGTATGATGATTTTTAAATTAAAGGGACTAAATAGGGGAGAAAATAAGTACTAATACCTTAATTTCCATTGCTAAGGAAAGGCTCTGTAGAAATACTATTTCACACTCACTTTTGCTCTCTTGATAAAGGCAATATTAGGTCACTGACTGAAATGTTTTGTTTCAAATTGTCTTTGCCTATCTTTGTCAAAATAAAAGTTGATATTTTCATAATTTTAAAATCTCCACGTCACTTTGAAACAGTTCTGTGTAAGAGTCACAACCTTAGAAGAGTGTTTTTTGTTTTTGTTTTTGGTCTTCATAATTTAAATCCTAATTATGGCATTCATATGATAGGCACAGCATTAGAAAATGAAAGAATCGCAGTGTGTTAAAAGTGACTTTGATGTAATATATCCCCCAATTGTGTCTTGTCCTCAAACTCTGCATTAAGTTGTAAATGTGTTTTCATTTACTTTGTGCAATATTTCATTTGCTAGGAAGACATGGAAACCGCAAAGTACGTGTGGAGACTCTGTGTTGCGCGACACAAATTCTACAGACTAAATCAGTGCAGCCTGTGAGTATAGCCTGTTCATGGAAATGGTAGAAAATAATGAGGTTAGACATTTTTATCTTGAGCTGTATGGTATCCTCTAGAAAGGCAAATTTTGTAGAAAAGAACAGTTTTATGACATTACTAACACAAACTCTTTGCTTTTTCATGTTAAAATAGCTCTCAAAAATATTTTCATTTTACCTTCAGAACAACTTCTAATAACTACAGATATATGCCTCTAAGATTTTCTTTACCTATTTACTAAAATCTTTAACTCTTGAAAGTTAAAAAGAGAATGTTCTTTTTTAATCAGCATCTTGAGTAATTAAAGATTATTCAGCTTGTCAAGCCGTTTGAAGCATACCTTTTCTTCCTAATGTACATTGTTCTTGGTCCCCATGGGTTTCCCGCTTTGTGCTGGATCATTCCCATCAGCATACAGACATGCTGTAATAAAATTGCCCATCTCGAAACACTTGTCCTTCACTCCACACGCCATCCAGCCAGGGCTCCATTATCTCTGCTCTCCTATAGGGCACATTTCTGCATAGGAGTCGTATATGCTTGCTCTCTCTCCTTCCTCCCACCCTGCTTCCCCTAGCTGTCACACATGGACACCTCTGGTCACCCCTCCCTTCCTGCACCCTGCTGCTCGTCATCTGCCAGGACCCCACCGTCCTGCTTTTCCTCTTTCTAGGCTGTTTCTTCTCAGTCAGCTTTGCTGGTTTAGTCCTCAGACCTCTTCCACACCTTCCTCATTCACATTGATTCAGGTTTACAAATAGTGCATCCGGTTTTATTTCTAGCTCAGTCTTCTCCCTGAGCACAGCCGACTGCCTATTGACATCTCCATTTGGGGACCTAAGAGGCATCTCAGATGTGATATGCCAAAACCCAAACTTGACGCTCTCTTCCTTTGCCTGCCCCCAAATCTGCTTCTTCCCTATTCTTTCCCATTCCATGAATGGCAGCACTCCATATTCACACAGTTGCCCAGGCCCCAGGCCTACTTAATTCCATTTTGATTCTTGTTTCTTTCATCACACATCCAATTCATCAGCAAGCTCTGCCTTCAAAATGTATCTGAAATCTGACCACTTTTACCACCCCCTCTGCTAACAACCTCATGCCAAGCCGCCAGTGTTTCTCAGCTGTAGGATGGCGGGAGCCTTCTGACGCTCTCCCTATGTCCGCGCCTGCCCTGCCTATACCTTGCTTTCCATATGTCAGTCAGACTGGTCTTAGTTGAATATGGGTCAGATCCTCTAGCCCTTGAAACCCTGCACTGGCATTTCATCATGCTTAAAAGTACAAAAAAAAAAAGTACAAAAAAACCATCCGAGATCTGGTCCTTGCCTGGTTCCCACCTTGTTTCCTTTATACCCTCCTCCTGCTCACCCTGTCCCAGCCACACTAGGATCCTTTCCCGTCTGTGAACATGTTCTGCCCTCAGGGACGCTGTGCTTGCCACTTCCCGGCCTGAAATGCTCTTCCTTCCCATGCCTCATTCTCCCACTGCATCCGTTGTCTGATCAGAGGTACCCTGGCTGCCTTGGGTACTCCCTCCCTGCCCACTGCCTGTCTCTCTTTATCCCCTTGCCCTGATTTATTCTTTTTCATAGGACTTGGCCCCGCTGACTTTGTGTATTTGTTTCCTTACTTGTTTACTGCCTCCATCTCTTCTCAGCAGGTAGGCACCACAGCAATGCAAAGGGCAGACACTGGTTAACTCCTGTGTTCCTGGTGCTGAGCAAGGGGCTGGGCCGCAGTAGGCCTTCTGAATTTGTTGAAGGAACGCATGTTAAGAGGTCTGATTGGGGATGTCTGTGGTGCTGTAGGAGCCCTTAGGAGAAGGGTTCTTAACCCAGAACTGCCACGCCAGGAAAGGCTTCCCAGCAGAGTGGCATCTGCACTGAGACTCGGAAGTCTTGCGCTCCATCCCCACAACGTTCTTTTAAGCTGTTCTCTCTCATCTCGCCCACTGCAGCTGCCTCCCATCTGGCTCCCCTGCCCCATCTCACCTGGCTCCAGCCAGTTTTCTGGATGGATGAGCAAAAGATGTAGCACTTTACCCAAAGTTATAGCTCAGAACCACATTTGAGCCTGTGCCTTTCCGCACCCTTCTTAGCTACAGCATGAAGTGCAAGACTCCTGTGATCCTCCTCTGGGCTCATCTGTGCAGCTGACGCTTGATCCTGGCCCCAGAGCCCATAGTCCTCACAACGCTGAAGCGTCTCACAGCCCCAGGCTTTGCTGGAATGCTCTCTGTCCCCGTCTCTGGCAGGCTCTTCGTTGTTTGTCCTGATCCAGTTTAAGTGCGGCCGTCCTGGCGGCCACCACACATTTAGTTTGCTTTGTCCTTGGTACCATTCTCAAAGTACTGGTTGTTTCCTACCACTTGCATAATAATGATTCTGATTCGGTAGATACTTTCTCTGTGCCAAGCATTATGCGGAGAGCTTTTATCTCCTTTCCTCTTTACAGTAGCCCGGTTTGGTACAATTCCTCCTGCCCTTTTGTAGATGAAGGCGTGGGGACATAGAGGCCTGCAGTGTCGCGGTCCTGCCGTGCAGCCAGCGCTCCCCACCCCCCAAGGCTAGGCCACTGGCGTGGTTCAGACCTGCTGTCCTATGCGAACCTGGCTTTTCTGGCTTGTCTGCTAGCGCCCCAGTGGCCGGCGGGCCGCCTGGCACCCAAGGCTTAGTGAATGGTGGAAGCCTGAGTGAGATGGTGACGGGTGTCAGAGGGGAGAAGAAAGAGCCCGTTTGCTCCTTGTTGATTTCCTTTTACCACTGATTGTAAATTGGAAAAAAAAAAATCTGAAGAGAACATTTTCCCTTCAGGCCAAGAAGGAAGAGGAAAGTCTATGGAAGTGCTTTCTGTTTTTTTATAGGTACCCCAAAGTGTGAAATAAAACTGGTTAGGAATAACCGTGCAAAGGGCAGACCCATCTTTGGGACTCCTGAAAGAAAAGGAAGTGACCGGGGGTGACCCTACAGGAGAACCAGCCCGGGATGAGCCCGTAGGTCCCAGTTCTCTTCTCCTCTCTGAGTAACCCCCGACCATGCTTTTCTCTGCGTCCACTGGTCTGCTGATGGGATTTGAGAAGGCGCTAACTGACCCGACGGGGAGGAGGGAGCCCTGCTTTCTTTGTGGATACGGGAAGCCTTCTCTGCTGGCTGCGCGCTGAGCTCACAGGTCTGAGCGTGTTTGTGTCAGAACGTGCTTCCCCTGGTGGCCAGATTCAGTGGTGCCAGGAGTCCAGGCCAGTCACATTTGGGGCTCTCCTGGGCTGGCCTGGTTACCTGAGCACGTGTGACCTTAGTTCTGTGCAGAAGCAGCGTTCTGAGATTCAAGCAGTAGATATGCACTCTGGAGGAGCACAGCCTTTTCATAAGTTTGAGAGTCATCATAGGGTGGAACCCTCCCTCTTCTGGAAAATAATGGAGAATCAAAGCAATCATTTTGAATAGACTGCAAAACATCATCTCTTTACAGTAGGCATCCATATTGGTTGGTGGTCAATGCCTTTTTTTTTTTTTAAAGATTTGATTTATTTATTTATTTGAGAGACAGAGAAAGCATGAGCAGGGGCAGAAGCAGAGGGAGAAAGAGAGAGGGAGAAGCAGGCTTCCCGCCAAGCGGGGAGCCCGATGCGGGGCTCGATCCCAGGACCCTGGGATCATGACCTGAGCTGAAGGCAGACGCTTAACGACTGAGCCACCTATTCGCCCCGATGCCTTTTTTAAAGGAGTTTTTTTTTTTTGGCAAATCACCATCTACTAATGATTTTAAAGTTCAGATGGAAAAGAAATCAATTCTGTTGTAGAAATCTAACTTTGTAATATTGCTGTTTCTTGCTAAATAGAAATAAAACTACATTATTATGGTCTTCAGTTACATATGTCTACATAAAGAAAACACAGGGGGCACCTGGGTGGCTGCCAGTTAAGCGGCTGACTAAACTCAGGTCATGATCTCAGAGTCCTGGGATTGAGCCCCACTTGGCCCCATGTGTTCAGCGGGGAGCCTGCTTTTCTCCCTCTCCCTCTGCCTCTCCCCCCACCCCCACTTCTGCTCTCTTTCTCTCTCTCTCAAATAAATAAAATCTTAAAAAAAAAAAAAAAAGAAAAAACACAAGAGTTTCAAAAGTGCAATAGTTAGGTTTAAAAGGCTATTTTCTACATTTTGTTTTTAATCTGTACATCCAGTAGATTAAGGAAGTCCATATCCATGAGCTATTCCTGTGTAATTATTTATGATGGAGGACACCTGCTGCATTCTGTGGGAAACTAATTTATTTCGCCATTAGCACTTGTTCTCAGGTGAAGTAAATGAATTCTTAGCCTTTAATGTTTTGATGGGTGATAAAACTAAAAATAGCTTTACATTTTATGGTCATTTTTTTTTTTAAGGCTCTCAACCTAGACTGTTCAGTCACATTTAATACAGTGATCCTAGAATATTGGTAGATTTGTTCTCACAGTCCAGATGGGTCATTTTACAGTGTGATGGGCATTTAATGGAACTGTAACAGGCCTGAAATTGGACAGTGGATTCTGGATGACTGGGTCAGCCTGGGGCGCCTGGTGGCTCAGGGAGAGGGTTCTGCTTGTATAGAAGGAGGACTTTGCTCTTAGAGTGTCCTCTCCACCACCTCTCAGTCCTGTTATGTAATTCAGTGGTGTTTGGGGTGGCCTTGTGTGACTCATCCAAACTTGACCCAGATGACTATATTTTAGATTTTATAGAAAGACATGACCTATCATAAATCTTGCCCCCTCCCTCCACTTTTAAACAAGGTACTCTAAATAACAGAGTCATCTTTTTATGTCACTCAAGCCTTAAAAATGTGAGAAGAAGAATGTTAATATTCCTTTAGGGTTAGCTTAGGAATTACAAGAGATAAGGTCAGTCTGTTTTGTCAAATAATTTCTTCCAAACCCCAGAATTGGTCCTGCTGTAATCAGCCTCTCGTTTACATGACAAAAAGACTGGGAGAGAAACAGAATCTTGGTGAGGACAGTATTCCCCGAATTTGCAGAGCCATGTGATCAAGGTTCCAAGGGACTTTTATCTAGAGGGAAAGCTGAATTGCAGTCACCGGCAGGTGAGAGGGTTGGTGTGTGCCCACTTGTGTTGTGGAGACTCTGACCTGAACACTAACGGGAGAAGGCCCTTCCTGGAAGGGGATGGGGCTGCCCCTTCTCCTAGCCCCACTGCAGGATTTAAAGAGACCAGAGGAGGGGTGCATGAGTGGCTCAATCAGTTGAGCGTCTGGCTCACAATTTCGGCTCGGGTCATGATCTCAGAGTCCTGGGATGGAGCCCCGTGTTGGGGGTGGGGGTGGGGTCCCCGCTCAGTGGGGAGTCTGCTTGTCTCCCTCTGCCCCTCCCCCAACCACTCTCTCACTCATACTCTTTCTAAAATAAATAAATAAATCTTAAAAAAAAAAATACAGGGACTGGAGGAGGCCTGGAAGGAGATAGAGTAGCCCTGTCCCATCAGAGAAGGTCATTGAGACCAACGTTTTCTAGGTATTTCCACCATCCAGTACATTTTTTTGTTCATCAAAATCTCCTCTTCACTAGCTATAAATCTGTGAGAAAAGAAGCCCACAAAGCAAAATTGAAATAGCTCTTAGAAATAGCTTCACTGTAAATGCTCAGTAATTAGCATCTGCTTCCGTCCTCACTGTGTCACTTGTTTGCTCAACAAACATTTGAGGCCTTCTTTGTGTGCCGGGCACCAGTGATACCATTATGTCCTCTTGCCCCCATGGAGCTTACAGATCATCCGGGGCCGGGGAAGGGGTCAACAAATAATGGACTGTTAGGAGCCTGTGCTCAGTAATCCGACGGACAGGCCTGATTCCAGTGCCCGTTCTGCTACTTCCTGGTCATGTGACCAAGAGCAGTTTCCTTAACCTACCTATCAGTTTCTTCCTCTGTAAAATCAGGAGAGTAACTGGCATCCCTTCTGGTGTTGGGGTTCAGATTCCGTGAGATAATCATTTTCCGTCCTTAGCACTGTTTCAGTAGAAGTCATACTTATTTTACTGGGGCTAGCAGCCTTTACTCTTTTGTTTTCTCCAGGGCACACATTCCAGTGATTTTGTTCCTAAGAGTTCTTCAGCTGTCTCGTTTTTAGCAGCACCCATCAACATAGTAACTGCCCAGAAAGTCTGGAAAACACCCACCAGCAGTTAGACCATTTGGTCTTGTCTGCTAGGTTTAGGCTAACTGGTCTCCCTCGTAAGCTGCAGTTACAAGAACAGTGGCAGGAAGAAGGAGGAGATGGGTATTAGAACCGATGGCGAGGCTGCCTAGCGGAGCCATCTGGCAGGAGAAAGACGTGTTAGTTTGTTTGTGTTTAGTAAGAAGTGGCCTCTGCAGTGGACAGTGGTGCCCCCGCACTGGATGCTGCCGAAATAGATAGTGCATGTGGGAGTTACTGCCTCTGCTTCTAAGCTCTGCATCTTTGGATTCTGTGTTTGACACATTTAAGTTTTATTTTTGCCCCCGGCTGGGCAAGTCTGGACATGTTGGAGTATTACTCTGTGGCGCCTTTCCTTCTCATTTCTGAATTTTGAATATATAGTACCTTATTATTTTTTATTTTTAGAGAGAGAGAGCACACGTGCGAGCATGAGGCAGAGAAGCTTAGAGGGTGGAGGAGAGACTCTTAAGCAGGCCCCCTGCCCAGTGCAGAGCCCGATGCGGGGCTGGATCTCACAATTCTGACATCATGACCTGACATGAAATCATTAGTTGGCCGCCCAACTGACTGAGCCACCCAGGTGCCTGTTGAATTTTAGTAATTTAAAAGTTCAGTCCTTTTGGACTAAATATAAATTTCAAAGGTCCCAGTTTTGCTTCAGCCTAGCTCTGACGATGGAGAATAAGCAGCAGCAAAGTAAACCTCAAGGCTACAAAATGATGCCTTCACATTCCGGACACTGATTTTAATGACTGTTTTAACGTACAGTTAAGGAGTGGTTAACAAAACTAGAGTACCTGGTGCACCATCCCACCTCCCACCACCAAAGAGGCCTCAATTAGGACCCATAGAGCTTCACTGATCGCTACAGGCTTAATAGAATTATCATCCATTTTGCTATTGTTGAGTAACATAAGTTCTGGGAGATGAAATGTTCTTGGGAATAGAGACACTTACTCTTTAGCAATAACCTCAACACATTTTGATGATGAAAGGAAATTATTTCAAAAAGCGTTTAATTAAAAAAGGTCACCTAGTAAAACAAATTGTAGTCACCTGATGTTAAGTTCCTGATACGCACTCAGTTTTTTTTCTTTGTAATTTCTATTATTACTTTTGGGTTTAGCTATTATCTTCAGCCTATGATATATAATAGAAGTATTCACTTATATTTTCTGTAAGTTCACTTATGACTTCATATTTAAATTTTTAATTTTTAAATCCATCTGCTATGCACTTTCTTATGTGGCATTATATGAGGCTATGAGACTTGAACTTCTTATAAATGGTCCATTGTACCAATAACCTATCTTCTCTCTGCTGAGCTGGATTATCACCTTTATCATATAATCAGTTTTTATTCTGGGGTAGGCCATTTTTCAGATTGCTCTTATGTTCCCTTATTCTAACACTCTGTTACTGAGGCAATACCAACCTAGTTTCATTCAAGCCCAGTATTTGGTGATCATTTTTAATCAGAAATGATAAGCACTAGTTTTATTTTATCTCAGGTCTTCTCAAAATAAGCTAATTTTCAGGTTTTGAACATAAGGTACTAGTTGGGGACGCCTGGGTGGCTCAGTTGGTTAAGTGTCTGCCTTCAGCTCAGGTCATGATCCTGGAGTCCCAGGATCGAGTCCCACATTGGGCTCCTTGCTCAGCAGGGAGACTGATTCTCCCTCTGCCCCTCCCCCTGCTCTGCACGATCTCTCTCTCTGACAAATAAATAAATAAAATCTTAAAAAATAAGGTACTAGTGTTTAGAATGCTAAGAATCATGTTAATTTAGGAGATGTGAGGATTGATACTATGGTACATGTGCTGATTAAACAGGTTGAGTGTTCACTTTGTGATTCTGGATTTTCTAGTAATTAGTCCTTAGAAACTATGACCAAAAGTCACAAAATATTTTTGTAATTAGTATTTATGTGTCACATAAGCTCATGAGCCAGGAACAGATGGTAAAATTTTTTTTTTTTTTTAAGTGCTTTGACGGGTGCCTGGCTGGCTCAGTCGGTAGAGCATGCGACTCACGAGTTCACGCCCCATGTTGGGAATAGAGCTTACTTTAAAAAAAATTTGGGGGGGGGTGCCTGGGTGGCTCAGTCAGTTGAGCACCTAATTGATTTTGGTTGATCACTCTTGATTTTGGCTCAGGTCATGATCTCAGGGTGGTGAGACTGAGCCCTGCGTTGGGCTCCCCGCTGGGCTTGGAGCCTGCCTGCGATTCTCTTTCCTTCTCCCTCTGCCCCCACCCCCACCCCAAGCACATGCGTGCACATGCTCTCTCTGTCACTCTCTTAAAAAGAAAAGGGAGGAAAAGGGGAGAAAAAGCACTTGGGGAAAATTACCTAAGTCATCAACAAAGCCAAGAATCCTGTGTGTTTAGGTTCCTAGATTTTATCTGCAATAAACTGCACACAAGAACAAAAAAATCCTGCCTTTGTTTAAAAGTGGTAAAATTACACGAGCTGTTTTGTCTCTTGTTCCTTTTTGATGTAATTATTTATTCAAAGATGGAACTTGATGGGAATAGTTTAAAATCTCAATTTATCTGAAAAATGTTAGTCCACACTCCTTAATATTCTCATTGCTTTCTTTGTTGTTTGTTGTTGTTGTTGTTGAAGTCACCTCCACACCCAGCATGGAGCCCAGTGTGGAACCTGAACTCACGACCAACTAAGCCACCCACGCACCCTTTATTGCTTTCTAAAAAATACATTTGAAACCAATCTGAGAGAAGTTTCTTGCAAAGAAAAGTAAATAGGTTTACCATTGGCCCACTGAACCAAATCTACTTGTTTGCTTTCTCTAACTTAGTTCCTTACGGGAAATCCAGATTCTTAAGTTACCAAAGTTATAAACTTATTTCTTGATTATGTTTGTAATGTGTGGTTAAAAGGATTTTAACTAAAGGCATCTCCCATTGCTTCAGGCTTCTGGGCTGGCAGTTGATGGTCACCGTGACCTCAGGACTGTCAATGGAGGTGGTCAGTGCTGACCCAGGCCCACAGGAGAGATGTATTTGCACTGAGTCTTGCTTACCTGGGATGTTTGTGGGTGATCAAGCCCTGCTGCTTTTCCTCTCTGCATATTCTCATTCCAGAGGTTTTACCTGGATAGCCCAGGAAAAGATAGACCTGCCCACCCTCCGATAGTTAAGGCAGATGTTGCTGTGTGAAGAGGCTCAAACCCTGGAGTGTGGGTGGAGGAGTCTGGGCAGCCATAGAGGGTGGAGGCCCCAAGTGAGGACAGAGTCTCCTTTTCTCTGATATATGGCTGGATTAGTTTGTCTTCTTTTTGCTTTAGTAGATTTATTATTTTACCTTCTTATTAATTTATTTTGGCAGAATTAGGAAAACTATGTGTATGTATGTCTCAATGACATGTCTTATTTTTATAGGCAAACTCAGACTGTCACAGTGAACCCAATTAGGAGGAGGTCATCTTCAAGGGTATCCCTGGTAAGAAAGAAGGAAAAATATAATTGCTTTTTTTCTTTTAGTGATATTACCTTCCTTAATAAAAGATGCTTTTGATAGTATTAATTTTTTATTTGGACCACAAAAGTGTGCTGGTATTCCATTGTTTTTAACCAAAGAAATGGCAATTTTCCATAGGCTGACCCTACTATTTATGTAATGTTTATTTTATTATACATATTTAAATATTAGGTCCAACCTAATTAAAATTTTTGACTATTAGTGAAGAGCAGTCAGAGGTTAGTAGATATTTAAAATGCTAGCTAATTTTGCCTGATAAGATTAAATACACTACAGAAAAGCTTTTTATATTCACATGTTTACATAAGAATTCAGGGAACTTTGTCTATTCCTTCTTGCTCTTAAAGACTTTTTGGATACAGCTTGTTTTCTTGTGATCTTTGATGTCTGGTATCAGTGCATAGGCCTTGGCATTGTCATTCTGGGAGACACTGAAAGTGACAGATATGGTAAGAGCTGTAGGGTCTTCATGTTTATTTTCTATATATTACATTTAACTTCCTTAGAAGTTTTTTAATGGACAGAAAGAAACCAGCAGAGACTTACTTTACATATATTACATAGGCAGCAATGTGTTTTAACCCTGTTTCCAACTTTCCATTCCTTAGCCTAAGCCCCAGCCCTATGTGATGCCTCCCCCACCCCAGCTGCATTATAATGGACATTATACAGAACCATACACTTCCTCCCAAGGTAAAGTACGCTATATCTGAAATGCCATACAAAATTATTATAATTTGAATAAATCTATGAAGACTTGGAGATCTTCGAGCCAGGATAGTTTTGGCTGACGTTACAGCCAAATCGTTTTCATGATTATAGCCATCCTGGATTCATAGAAGCAGCAGTCATTAGATTCAGTTTCTCGAAAATGTGTAGCAATATTCAGTATCAAATTCTGATGCTCAAATGATCCCAAGTTTGGCCTTTGGGAGCCCCTTTGAGCCAACTCCTTTGTCCTGCTGACACTCTCCCATTAGCCTTGAGTGTTTCCTGGCTTTCCAGCATAAGATATCCCAGGCTCGTTTTGGTTTTTTCCCTGCCCGAGAGCTGCCCATTGTAAGGGTTTAAGCATTTCATTTTTATTTATTTTTATTTTTCACTTGGTTAGTGTAGGGAGCTGTATTTAAGACAGTGCCTCCCAAGCTGAACCTCAAGCATTCATTCAGGAGACATTTACTCTCTCTGTGTACGAGGCTCTACTACAGAGGCCAAGGAGATTTAATGCAGAGAAGTAGTTCCACATCTTAGGAAGCTCAGGATCTAATGGTGGGGGGGGGGATAAGACTAGCACACAAATAGCTTAAACACAAAGAGAACATGATTGTTTTGAGGAGAGAGAGCAAGCGATTATGTGACGAAAGACTCATTCTGTTGGGGAGACTGAGAAGAGCTTTCTGGAAAGACGGCAGCTAGAGAGAGGGAGGTGGGCAGTTGATGGGGATTGCTGCCCTGGGTTTTGGGGGACAGTGAACACCATGGCACAGACTGAGGAAGGGGCATTGGGGAGGGGAGTGGTATGGCTGGACTTGGAACTGGGAGAAGCCACATGTGAAAGGACCAGAGGTGGTTTGTGACTGTGTTGTGTGTGCCGGGCCTTCCGTGCACAGAGGAGAATTTCCACACAGTGAGGTAGGCGGGTGGGCAGCAGGGGAGCCGTGCTTCAGGGTGTGGATTCCCAGAGGGTGCACCTCAGGGTGGGGCTGTTTTCTCCCTCATTGCAGGCTCCTTGTGCCCCCCCCCCCGTGTGCTTCTGCGCCCCCAGCCCCACCCGCCGCTGGGTAAAGTCTCTTCTGTCTGCATTGCTAGTCTGCAGGTACCCTAATACTTTTTCCTGGCCTCTCTCTTCCAACTGTGGTTTGAGTTCATTTTCCATTCCCTTTTCCACCTGCTGCTTCTGAGAGCGGTGCCCGTGTGGGTGGGTACCCGTCTACTCCCCAGCTGCCCCCTCGGTCCCTGGCGCCCTCCACCTCCTCACCGGCAAATTGAGCTTTTTCTCCTCTCGAAAAACCTCTTGTTGGGGCGCTGGTTCTCTCTCCTCCTCCTGCACCATCAGTGGTGTTCGCTGTCTGGGAAGGTCTCCGGGGGTGGCCTTCTTCCCTCCCTTTGCAGGCTCCCACGGCAGCCCCGTCCTCAGTTCCCAGATATCGGCAGGGGTGACTGTCACATCTGTACTTCCCATCTGTCATCACCCCTGCGCTGCAGCCCTGCATCTCCATCTGCCCCACAGGTGACAGGGTAGGGAGCCACTGCACCAAAAGCCCTCGGTGGGGGACCTGGCTTATGGTATCAGCTGTTACAGCTTGCTGAGAAAGAATGTCATATCTGAGCTCATTGCTCTGCGCCACAAGCCCGTCCCTTGCCCCCCCGGCCTTATTTCCTCTTTGCGATGACATCACTCTCCTGGTTACGTGGATTCCAAACTGCATGCAATTTTGCTTTGCTTTTCTTTCCCCCCCCCCCCAGCACCCAGTCCGTCACACATGTTCTGGCCTCTAACTCCATACAGTATCCCTTCCGTCTCCCTGTCCCTGCCCCTGGTTCAGTCCAGCCTCACCCGACTAGCTGGTGGCTCCACACGAGAGGCCAGCTTCCACCTCTGCCCTCCCCGGCTCACCGGATACATGGGTGCCCGGCTCTCAGCTCCCCCACGACCATTCCTTTGCCTGGTGTTGCACACTCTCTGCAGTGTTTCCCAACGCTCCTTTCCTAGTCTTATTTCCCACTGTTCTCTTACTCGTCTCCAGCTACCCGACACTCCAGCCAAACTGAGGGTGCCCCCCCAGAAGTGGTCTCCCAGCCTGGCCCGTGCTGCCCTTAGTCCTTACATGACGCCATTGTGTGCTCTCCTGCCCACATGCTTCTGTCCCATGGTGGGGTGGGGGGTGGGGACTAGATTGTGCTGTGGGAATGCCCAGTGGCTTATGCAGTAAAGGTGACTTCTGCTCAGGTCACCGGCAGGAGGGCTCTGCTCCATGTCTGCCTGCCTCAGGCGTTCTGGCCAGAGGAGCCTCTTCCATCTGGAATGTTGGTCTGGGGGGTGGTGGGGAGGGAGCATGGAAACTGGCTCTCAACCCTCTGCTCTCTTTCCCTTGACCTCTGCTAGTCATGTGACCATGCCTGACAGACACCTAGGGGTGAAGATGGGTAATCCTGTGCGTAGCAGCTGCGGCCAGAAGCTGGACCTGCCCTCCCCACCCCCACAGGCTGCTTGAATGCTGTGTCCTCCGTGAGGCTGTTTTTGATTCTCCCCTCTCTGTCCCCATCGACCTAGCCCAGGCTAGAAGTGATCCTTCCCTCCTCCTGTGTGGACCCCGGTCACACTGAGTCTCACAGTGTAATGTGTCCTTGAATTGTGATTGTTGTATACATCTCTCCCCTTTACTCACCTGGATTCCAGTCATCTTTCCCCCCATCGGTTCTCAGCATAGTCTTTTACACACATGGGCTCACAAAGGGATGGTTTGTGGGGTGTAGGGAGGAGCCTGCAAGTAGGGAGGCCAGGAGGGATGGGTTTTATGCCTGTGCAGACAGACAGGCTGGGTCAGTACCTGAGCTGTGGTGGCAGGGAGAAAGGGGAGCTCCAGGGACCCGGAGGTTGCAGAGCATTCCAGGTGTGGGAGCAGTACAGGGACCGGGAAGCTTTGGTGTCAGCAGGAAGAATACAGTGATGCTTCTGAGCCCCGTTTCGTCCTGGCTTGCACGCCACCTGAGTAACGTCCCCACACTAGATGGTGATACGTTCACTTTGATAATCACTAGTCACTTAAAACATTACACGGCTCTTGAATCCCAGAAAGAATACGTTTGAAAGGCAACTGTTCTCTGAAGAACCCGACTGCTACTCTTTGAAGTGTCAGAAATCACCCTCAGTAGGGATGGTGATTCCAGTGAACTACAGATCAGACAGAAGAAACATGCTTCCTTCCAGCCCCACTAGGCACACATGCAGCCACTGTAGATGAGACAGCGCTCCTGATTCTGCTGCCTGTGGATCCCCATCCCCCTGGAGTGTGGGGGCCAGAGTGGGGGTGGGGGGCAGGTGTGAATGGCTTCTGGTCCCTGGTGAGGTTTACTGCAACTGATGATACTGTTGGACCTGGAGAAGTAGAGCCTGCAGAGATATTGTTTTTGTCTTCATTCTAGAAGAACCCATACAGAAAACCCAGAATTCCACTTAAGGAGGTTTTTATAGATGGTTGGTACTTGAACTAGCTCAGCATCAGCGAGTCCCACATTCCCACCAGGGGGAGAGAGCAGTTAGTGGTGCAATGCCTTGAAAAGTAGCTCTGCCTCCAGCTAACCAGAGTTCCTGAAAGTCTGTTTCAATTCTAGCAAAACACATGTTTTTGATTTTCAGGAAAAGACAATATTTTATAATCATTTGTACTCTTAATATTGGATTTAGATTTGGTTAATCTTTGCTAGGGGCCAAATCCTGAATACCACCCTTAGGGTGGGTGAGCCGTCACCATTCTATAGATGAGGATGCCAGGACTCTGGGAAATAATATGCCCACAGTCATCAGGGAGCCTGGGTAAAGCCAGGTTATTTCTGCATGGATTTTTGTAAGCTACACTGAAAGTGTCCTCAGCATTCAGGGCCTATCTCAGTATTTGCCTAGAGTAATTGGTCGGATTTATACATCTTAAAATCTCATTTTAAAATAAATTTTAAATGTGTTTGTTTCCCAGATAACCTCTTTGCGACCAACCAGAATGGATACTACTGTCACTCTCTGACAAGTTTGGATCGAGCTCAGATTGACCTCAGTGGTCGGATCCGAAACGGCAGTGTATACAGTGCACACAGCACTAACTCCCTGAACAACCCGCAGCCCTACCTGCAGCCGTCCCCCATGTCCTCTAACCCGAGCATCACGGGGAGTGACGTCATGAGACCCGACTACGTGCCGTCCCACCGGCACAGCGCCCTGATCCCCCCGTCGTACCGCCCGACCCCAGATTACGAGACGGTGATGAAGCAGCTCAACAGAGGCATGGTGCACGCCGGAAGGCAGAGCCACTCGCTGCGAAACCTCAACATCGGCAACTCGTACGCCTACAGCAGGCCCGACGCGCTGGTGTACAGCCAGCCGGAAATTCGGGAGCACGCCCCCTTCACCTCCCCGCAGTCGGCCCACTACCCGTTCAGCCTGAACTACAGTTTCCACAGCCCGTCCCCGTACCCGCACCCCGCCGAGCGGCGGCCCGTGGTGGGTGCCGTCAGTGTGCCTGAGCTGACCAACGTGCAGCTGCAGGCGCAGGACTACCCGGCCCCCAACATCATGCGGACGCAGGTGTATCGCCCGCCCCCGCCCTACCCGCCCCCGCGGCCGGCCAACAGCACCCCGGACCTGTCCCGCCACCTGTACATAAGCAGCAGCAACCCCGACCTCATCACCAGGCGCGTGCACCACTCGGTGCAGACGTTCCAGGAGGCTAGCCTGCCCGTGGCGCACTCCTTGCAGGAGGTCAGCGAGCCGCTTACGGCCGCCCGGCGCGCGCACCTGCACAAGAGGAACAGCATCGAGGTGGCCGGGTTGGCGCACAGCCTTGAGGGCCTGCGGCTCAAGGAGCGCACCCTGTCCGCGTCAGCCGCCGACCCGCCGCCCAGGCCCGTCTCGGCGGGCTCCCAGCCCGGTGGCTGCCCCGAAAGGGCTGAGCGGGACCAGGCGGACGAGCGGGGAGGCCTGGGCTACGGCCACAAGAAATCTCTCTCTGACGCCACCATGCTGATCCACAGCAGCGAGGACGAGGAGGACCTGGAAGAGGAGATCGCCTCGCTGGCGGTGCCCTTTCCCCGGGGCCGCCACTCCCCGGAGCAGCAGGCCGGCCCCTCCCGCGGCCCCTGCGCCCCCACCGCCGCTGCCCCGGGCTCCCTGCACGGCCGCGACACTGCGGCCGCGCTCGCGGAGGCCACCCGGCCCCGCAGAGAGGGGCTGCTCACGCCCTCCATGTCCGAGTCCGACCTCACCACGTCGGGGCGCTACCGAGCCAGGAGGGACTCCCTGAAGCAGCGGCCGGTGTCCGATCTCCTCTCGGGGAAGAAGAACGTTGTGGAAGGCCTTCCGCCGCTAGGGGTAAGCCGAGTGTGCGGCTGTGCCCGCGTCGGGCCGTCGGCACCTGCGGAGCGCCGGCCCCGCTCCGTGCATCCCCCCTTTGACTTTCCATTCTGGCCCTTTCAACTTTTGTGTCTTCGCGCTCTTCTCCCCCCCCCCCCCCCCTTATTTCCATCGTATTTGGAACACTTGGAGTTTATCTATGGAAATAAGGGGGACCGATTAGACTTTTAGTGGTTTTGCTGGAGATAATAAATTAGAGGAAGTGAAAAGGTAAACTCAGGAGACTGAATGGAATGCAATGGGATGAAATGGGATGTGGATGGGGATGGAATGGATGAAAGAAGGGAAGGAGGGAGGGAAGGGTTCTCTGGTTTGAGGTACGGTTGCTAAGCAGCCGGTTTAGAAACACCGTGTGGTGATGCAGCGGTGCGGGGCTGTGTTGTTCTGTTTGCCGTTTGCTGCGTGGTATCTGAGAGGAGCATCCCCCGCAGGGAAGTGTTGCTGATGTCAGAGTGTGTGGATACAACTTGAATTGCCTGGCCATGATCTCTGAGGGCCGCAGAGGGATTCTGGAGACAAAACACCCGAGAGCTCCAGGTCTCTTTAAAAGAAAGATTAAGTGAATTGAGAGCCTAAAGAAGGTCCTTGTAGAAAACGCAGCTCTTTGATACTCATTATAATAAATAACCATGAGTTGCACACTTCTTACTTATTTGGGGCAAAATATAAAAGCATAACATCATCTCTAGCTGCCATTCCTGGAGCATTTACCATGTTCTGAGGCATGTCCAGCTTACAACAGGCCTATTGTTCCTTCAGAAAAGAAAACAGACTCTGAGATGTTAAGTAACTTTTCCAAGGTCACACAGCTAGTGGGTGACTGAACTGGAATTTTAAAGCCATGTTTATCTCTGCAACCTACTCTCTGATCATCTACTCCGTTCTGTGTTGAGGTATATTGTATATGATTTTTTTTTAAAGATTTTCTTTATTTATTTGACAGAGAGATAGCGAGAGCAGGAACACAAGCAGGGGGAGTGGGAGAGAGAGAAACAGGCTTCTGGCTGAGCAGGGAGCCCGATGCGGGGCTCGATCCCAGGACCCTGGGATCATGACCTGAGCCGAAGGCAGATGCTTAATGACTGAGCCACCCAGGCGCTCCTGTATATGATATTTTATTAAGTAGTTATTGCTTGTCTAAGCCTTGCTGTTTTCTGTCTTTCCACCGAAACTTTTTGAGTCCCCAAGCACTGGCCATGCGTTTGTGCCTTTGTCATTTAAGCACGGCCGCTCTAAGTCATCTTGTTGCATTGCTCAGGCTTCTGGCTCCTTATTGCCCACGTCTTCACGCCCGGAGCCCTGCCCTCTGATCGAGCTAAAGTGATTAATCAGCCTATCCATTCTGTCTCCCAGTTACTCCCAGTGCCCTGGCAGCTAGGACTCCTCCCCCATCTCTGATAGCCTGTATACTCAGACTTGAGGACCCATCACAAGCATAGTAGTATCTTCAAAAACTGGAAGAAAATTCACACACTTTTACAGTGAGTATGCAATTGATTGGTAGAGGCAGACTGAAGCCATTTAACAACAGTGCGGTGGATTTAAGTGTGTTTGCTTTTAATGAATTTGGGGTTTGAATTTTAAGTTTTTTTTTTTAATTTTTCTTGGTAAACCTTCTTACCTACCTGACATTCTTGGTAGCATTCTTACCTACCTGAAAAGTAAAGAACAGGGTCTTAGGTTGGCTCGAGTGGAAGGTATGGATTCATGATCAATGATTCAGGGTAGAAACAGGGTGTGAATGTGTCTCTGAAAGGTAATTCTACCTGAGTCCCTGAGCCAGCTGGACAGGGTCCTTTTCATAGTTAATACTCTTTCCCTAATTACATCAAGAACTATCTCTTTTTGTTTTTTGTTTTCTTAGAGAAAGAGAAAGTGTGTGAGCAGGGGGAGGGGCAGATAGAGAGGGAGAGAGAGAATCTTAAGCGCTTGGAGCCTGACGTGGGGCTCGATTTCCCCACCCTGAGATCATGACCTGAGCTGGAATCAAGAGTCAGACGCTTAACCAACTGAGCCACCCAAGTGTCCCACAACTAGCCATCATTTTTATGCATGACCCGAGTCTTTTCCCCAAATGATACTTGTTTTGAGTACAGTCCATCATTTCAAGTTTATTGTCCCTGTATCTTTTGAATGGGATATAGCAAGATCCCCTAAATCTGAGGCTTTTGATTAGTTTGGTTCTCTAAAAATACAAGTTTTCTCCCTTGCTGACTTTTAAGACCCACAGTATTAGTACAATTCTGTGATTAGATTATGCTCTTGATCCCCTTCTTTGGCATAACGGATTCTCCTTGCTTGAAGAACGTGTATGGCAGCTGTGGCTTGGGGGAAAGGTCTAGGACCTAGGATGGAAGAACCTGGGTCTGAGGCTAGACCCTCCCGTGTATTAGTTCTCTGGCCTGTGGGCTGGACCTGGCAGCACCAGAACCACATCTCCGTCTGTAGCATGGGGACGGTCACCCTGCTCTGCCTGCTGTGGTAAGTCCCACGGAAGGTTAGGCAGGAAAAATGCTTTGTAAATTCTGTGGTGGGGCTGAGATGACTTTAAGGAAAGGTTTTTTACTGTTTTGACACTGATGACCATTTATAACGAGACAGCTGTGTGACCTTGGGCAAGCTGTCCCATCTCTCTGACTCTGCTCAGTTGTAGCGGAGGCTGACCCCAGAGAGTTGTGGCGCGTGGAGAATGTTCAGACGAAGTTAGCTCATTACTGTGCGGTGCGTCATCCTGACTTCCCGAGAACTGAAGCGCTCAACCCCCTGCTAAACTCCTGGGACTCCTCATAGTGACAGGGGGTTGCCATGACCTTCACTGTTACCACAGACAAACCGAGTTCACATACTAAATGTGAATTCAGGTTATGGGAGTTTAGTATTAAAAACAGTGAACTAAATTGCAGACAAGCAGAAACATTTTAGAGTTCTCCACCCTTCTCCACCTCCAGGAACTTGATTGTTATCTGAAAAAGAGTGGGCCAGTTGGAGTGCTCCCCACAGGAAGGTACAGATTTTCTGCTGGTGCACCCTCAGTCCTGGCCGGTGCTTCTCACATGAATCACTGAAGACCGCGTGTTTGTACTCGGAGGGCAGCATGGCTGACCGTGCGCATCCTTCCTCCCGTGCGGGCTTTAGACCCCGGCCTTGCGGCCAGCCCCGTCCATCGGGCATGTGGTGTGGCAGCCTCCTGACCTCGCTCTCACGCAGGGAAGAGCCGGAGCCGCCCTGTCCAGGGGGGCGGGCTTGAGTTTTCAGAAGTCTTGTGAGCCACTTGGTGTCTCATTGGCAGCTTGAGATTGGCCACGGTGGGAGAATTCGCACCATGCCAACTGGCCAACTGTGCGCGTCAGACACCCCCTCCCCAGCCAGTTGGTAACCAGCTGCAGCATACGGGCGGCGTTTTCTGCGCAGGTCAGAATCGTGACACTTGAGCCTCTTGCTCCCAGGCTGGTAGGACTGGAGTAAAGCTGATTTCATTTGTGAGTCGGAACTGAGAAAACCACTGCTGTCAAACAAGGGCTACTGTCCTAGCGACTGTGGCTTCCGAGGAGACTCCGCCTGCTCGGGCTTGTCCGCCGAGGAGGGGAAGATCGTTACTTCCATAGTCACGTTAGGAGATGCACATTTTCAGGAGACTGATACCCTGTCCTGTACCCTGCCTTCCTGGTGTCACCATGGAGATTTCAGTCCTGTTGTCTTTCCCTGGTTGAAAATGCGGCAGTTCCGAGGTGTAGTGAGCCAACCCAGGTCACCCCAGTCTGCAACAGAACGTAGGGCAGGAGAGAGAGAGAGCGACCCCAGAAAACATGTAATTTTTTCAGAATGGCTTAAAGAACTGGTTTTTATCTTTAAAAAACCACAAAAGCCTATGGCAGTCATGCGACTGCATTTAAAACCCTTTCTGTGGACTGCCGCTGATTTTTGTGTGCGTGTCATGTTTTGAAATTGGGGAGCTCTGTGAAGGAATGCTGTCTGCCTGGAGCCTCACCTCTCATTACAACAGAGACTTGAAACGAATTGCATTTCAAAATCTCCTATCTGTAAGACTTATCAGGGCTTTGGCCTTGAAAGGAATGTCTTCCTCCCAGTGTTTGTTTAAACAAACGTGTGTGTGGCATGTACCTCTCCTGTGGGTGTTGGCGAAGAAGAACACTCCTTCTGTTTGTTTCCAGTCCTCAGTCCCCTGAAGTGTCTTTTCCGGGGGGGGGGGTGTATTTGTGTATATTTCATATATACATATAAATATTTTTATAGGGAATGAAAAAGAGCCGGGTAGATGCAAAAAAAATTGGTCCTCTCAAATTGGCTGCCCTAAATGGACTCTCCCTATCCCGACTGCCTCTGCCTGATGAAGGAAAGGAAGTGCCCGCCAGAGCCACCAATGACGAGAGGGTACGTATGAGACGTATAGAGCGAGTGGTATGCTTTCTCTGGGACGTCCCTAACACGCTACAAAAATGCCTTCGGATTTTAGTGAATTTGCTAATACGTCTAATTATTGTGAATGTTAAGGCATCTTATAACCTGGATGTCAAAAATTGGGGCAAATCTGTTAATAGGTAATTTTAGAGTAAATGTTGATTTTTTTTTGTTTGTTCCTGGGTGTTCTTTACCTTCTTCCGGCCATCTGCAGCAGTCTTGATTTTTGATGGCTTTAAATTAGAGGAATTCTACAAGGAATTCTACTCCATATGAATACAACCGGGAAAGAGAGCAGACATTGACTACTTTCATTGTATTGAAAATTTATCTCAGGTGTAAACAGTTACTGAATTTTTCATGACTCTCTTTGTGATCAAGATATATTTGCTATGAGGTTTTATTGTATCAAAATCAGACAGGCATGAATTAATGCTATGTAAAAATTTGCTTACAACAGGATTCTGGAGATAATTTCAATATTTACTACTTTTTTCAGTTTTTGTATATCATAGATTAGAAAATTGAAGCATTTGTTCATAGAGACTGGAACTGATTCTCCTACCCTAGGGTTTACTGTTCTCCAGGAGAACTTTCTCTTCCTTAGGGTCACAAACTGACCATAGATTTAGAGAAAATGAATTCAAATTATTGTCGGCCAGTTTTCACCCTTAAACAGAACTCTCCATTCTGCTTCTCACCAACAAGGTGATTTTGTTATTTTAACTCTTACTATTACGGCTTGTTGAAAATTTAGTTTTGATGTCATCTAGAGTTTTCAGTACTAGAAAATGCTAAACTTGAAGCAGGAAAGAAGATTTCAGATGTGCCATCGGAATGCAGCTTGGACGTGTGATGATACTCATATTGTTCCACGTATTCCATTTTACAGTGTAAAATTCTGGAACAGAGGTTAGAACAGGGAATGGTATTCACAGAATATGAAAAAATTCTTAAAAAACGGCTAGTTGATGGGGAGTGCTCAACAGCACGACTCCCTGAAAACGCAGAAAGAAATCGATTCCAAGATGTCCTTCCCTATGACGACGCCAGAGTGGAGCTGGTCCCAACTAAAGAAAACAACACTGGCTACATCAACGCGTCACATATTAAGGTAAGAGCAGTGGGCGAGGCCGTAACGGCTGTGAAGTTGTGAGTTCAGTTACGAGAACGGTAAGAACTGTATTCTTGTTCAGTCTAAAAACAGCCTAGTTGGGGCCTTTGTGAGAACTCAGGTTATAAACCGGGAAATCCGTACACCGTGGCTGGGTAGGAAGTGTTTACCAGCAGAGCCAAAGCCGCCTTCCCCTCCCACATGCTAAGCCCCTCTGCCCCCAGCACTGTGGCCAGGACTCAGGGAGCGCTCTTCTGCCGGACCTTAGTTAGGTCTTTGTTCCTATAAATCTGAAGATCTCTTTCTGGCATAAATTCTCTCCAGAACGGCAGAATTGCTAGTTTTCTGTTATCACATACCTGCATTGATTCTTACGTGACAAAGGTGTCTGGTTTGGTTGGTTTGTTTATTTTAGAGAGCGAGCAGGGGAGGGGCAGAGGGATAGGGAAAGAGTCCAGAGCGGACTCCTGGCTCAGCACAGAGCCGGACACAGGGCCTCCATCCCACAACCCTGAGATCCAGACCTGAGCCACAGCCAAGAGTGGGACACTTAACCGACTGAGCCACCCAGGCGCCCCGTCTGGGTTTTTTAATGGTGTTCACCAAAGCTTTTCCTTATGATGGTGACATCTTCTTTTTGCTTTTTCCCTGTGATCACTTCTCAGCATCGTTTTGTTCTTTGGAGAAGTGGTGCCACTTTTTCCTTGGAGACAGTGTCATGCCATTTAACTGGGGTAATGTTACACCCAGTGAGATGGGAAAAGGTGATGCTGATCCCCAACTAGGAGGTGAGGAGACAGGTGCTTTGTCTTCTGCAGCATTTTACCTTTTGTGTGTGCTGGCTGGAGACCCAGTGTGTTCATTTTGGGAAGGAGACGATGCTTCCCTATTGGGAGTGAATGAGGAAGTATCCACGGTCAGGAGTTTTTCTTCTTTCCCACATTTTATTTTGTTTGCAAGTGGTATTTGATGAGTGCATGTTCACGCCTGGGGCTTCCAGAGACCTGGCAGTCTGCCTGCAAATGCGGGTGCCCTTGGTGGTCTTGGGGAATCTGTGCATGTGCTTTTTAATATGGGTATGATTTATTTAAAAACCCAGCGTTTTGGTGGAATAACTCATCCAGTCTCATGACAGGATAGATGAGAACTGAATAAAGTCATTGTCCTATGTGGGTATAGCAGAATCTTCAGGGACCAACTGAAGACCAGTGCAAGGCGGCTGAGCCTCGGAATTCCTAGACCTACCGCTTACCAGCGCCGGGCCTCCCTGTGCTTTCCTCTGAATAAAGCGCTGACACCTCCCCCTTGGGCCTGTCCACAGAGCCCTCCCCCTTGTTCGCTGCTAGCACCCGGGGCTGGCCGCTGAGTGCGCCCGCCGTCAGTGAGGGGATGCAGCCGAGACTCTGGGCCGGCAGCCTTGAATGCGGCTGTGGGCAGAGTAGCACGGGGCCCTTGGGAAGCAGCCGCTGTGGCCCCCAAATGTCAGCGGGCATGGGCTTTACCCCAGATCTCCTGACTACGGATCCAGCGACCACTCTGCTCCCTTACCCTGTTCTCAAGGAGGTGCAGCCTCAGGTGGAAACTTAGAATCCGTTCAGGGGGGTGATCTTGACTCAAGTTCAGAGGCAAGACCACTTTAAGCAGGAATATTTTTTCTGTCCTAGAAATCTGGTATTTAACCTCGGTTTTGGTTTAATTGTTCCTACTTCTCCCAATGTGTTTAATACTTCGTGAGAGGAAACTGTGTTTGAAATTTAGCATACTCTTATGTTGATACTATTTTGATAAGAAGAAGAATCATAACAACAGCAATAAGAACTATTTATTGAGAACCTATTATGTACAGGCACCATATACATTGCCTCATTTAATTCTGCCAACGGCGCGATGAGGGTACATGACATTTTTATTTTACAGATGAGAGCAGAGGGTCAAAGAGGTTAAGCAAATTGTCCCAGGGCACATAGATATTATGTGAATTCAGAGTATGTAAGTTTAAAAATAGATAGTGATGGGAATTGTATTAACAAGGAAAAGGGATAAGAAAAATCTTTGTTCTGAATAATTCAGTTCATCTTTTCGTACTGCCATAAACAAATGCGCATATATGCCTGCATACATACATATATAACATGCACATTAATTAAAATTTAAAGATTTATTTAGAGAGAGCAGGGGAGGAGGGGCAGAGGGAGAGAGAGAGAATCCCCAGCAGACTCCCCACTGAGTGCGGCCCCCATCGTGGGGCTCGACCTCACAACCCTGAGTTCATGACCTGAGCCGAAATCAAGAGTTGGCCGCTTAACCGACTGAGCCACCCAGGCACCCCACACATTAATTTTTTTAAAAAGTCTTTTCTAATTTCAGGTCTCTGTCAGTGGAATTGAGTGGGATTATATTGCCACACAGGGGCCACTACAGAATACCTGTCAGGACTTTTGGCAGATGGTGTGGGAACAGGGAATTGCCATTATAGCAATGGTGACTGCAGAAGAGGTAAGTGCTCATTTCCCTTAATTGATTTTCTCAGCCTGAGAACAGTTCGTGTTGATCCTGGGGGCTCCTGACCTTTAAAGGAGGAGGGACAGGGTGGGGTTGCGGTTCTGCATTTCGGACATACAGTCTGTATGAAAGGGTCTCCGCTGCTGGATCTGGTGTTGTGTTCTGACTGCACGCGTCCTTCACAGGAGGGCGGCAGGGAGAAGAGCTTCAGGTACTGGCCACGACTGGGTTCCCGGCACAACACAGTCACCTACGGGAGGTTTAAGATCACAACGCGGTTCCGCACGGACTCCGGCTGCTATGCCACCACAGGCTTGAAGCTGAAGCACCTGCTCACGGGGCAGGAGAGGACTGTCTGGCATCTCCAGTACACCGACTGGCCCGAGCACGGCTGTCCCGAGGGCCTCACGGGCTTCTTATGTAAGTGTCTTCGTACCAGCACAGCCTCTGCTTAAATCATCCACACGGAGGAAGACTTCAGCTCCTGAAAATACTTCCTTTATGATGTCCCATAGAGGCTTTGGACTTGCTTTATTATTTTTTTTCTTAAGATTTTATTCATTTATTTGAGAGAGAGATTGAGAGCATGAGCTGGGGGAGCACGGCAGAGGCAGAGGGAGAAGGAGGCTCCCCGCCGAGCAGGGAGCCCGACGCGGGGCTCGATCCTGGGACCCTGGGATCATGAGCCGAGCCGAAGGCAGACGCTTAACCCACTGTGCCACCCAGGTGCCGCTGGACTTGGTTTAAAATAAAGGCTTTAAGTGTTTAGAGGAGGCTTAACAGAAAAAAGTTTTTAAAGTATGGTTTGGTGGCGAGTAGAAGGACTCTTAGAGACTGTCTCCTCCACCTCATTTTGTAGGGGAGCAGAGGCAGTGACGATCACACTGTGATCGGTTAGCAGTTGGGGGTATTAACTGGCACCCAGGGCTCTTTTTCCGGAGTCCTCCTAATCAGTGATGATAATCTGGAAATTGTCACTTTGATGGGCCTTAATCTCTGTTAATTTTCTGTTTCATTGATATTCCACAGCATACCTTGAGGAGATCCAGTCTGTTCGACGCCATACAAATAGTACCAGTGAACCAAGAAGTCCCAACCCTCCGTTGCTGGTCCACTGCAGTGCTGGGGTGGGAAGGACTGGCGTCGTCATTTTGTCGGAGATCATGATCGCCTGTCTGGAACACAATGAGGTACGAGGTCCTTGTTGGTCAGGGGGAGAAGCAGGCCGGGCACGAGGCTGGGGAAGAAAGGAACTGGTGACCTACCGGTTCTCTCTGAACAAGTTCCCCGGAGGCTTCTTCTAGAAGATGCTAAGGTAGGAAAGTGTCTGTGTCTTGACCGGAGTTCTGCTGGGACTGCTCCCCTCTCTGCGGGGGACTGCGTCCCACTCACCCCCGTCTCTCCATCCAGGTGCTGGACATCCCCCGGGTGCTGGACCTGCTGCGGCAGCAGAGAATGATGATGGTGCAGACCCTCTGCCAGTACACGTTCGTGTACCGAGTTCTCATTCAGTTCCTGAAGAGCTCAAGGCTCATATAGGCTCCCACGGCTCGTGACGGGGACCCGATGGTGGGACGCGATGACAGCTGACAAGAGCGCTTGCCTGACTCGTGTCTCCTCGCGGCCACGAGTGGCGCCTGGACGGCGGCGCACGCAGGGAGCCATGCAGAGCACAGGGCCAGGCAGGGGCTGAAGGAGACGCACGCGGTCCCTGGGGCCTTGCCCCCTCCCCTCTCCGACTTGCAGCACCTGCACGCTTCTTAGAGGCTGTTTGCTACGCAGCTCTCTGCTGTACCGAGGCTGTGCCGGGCGGCCTGGGCAGTCAGTAAGGCGTATCGATCTCTGTCTTGGACATCTTGGAATTTTATGTTATGACTAAAGTGTTTGGGGTTTTCTTGTTGAGAAACTGAACTTTCCATGGGAATGGTCCACAGGTGTGATTGGTTCCTATGTAAGTTTGTATTTAAAACCATGGTACTGTCTCTTGTTATTTTTTTAAAAAACCTTAACAACTTAGTTACCAAACCCAAAACTACAAGAAGAATCTAAAAGTGTTATTTTGAAACATAGAAAGCATTTTTATATTCAGAAAATTTTTTATCCTAAAATATTCTATATATTTGTACCTTCTCTATTTTCCAAACGAGAGTTCAGCTCATTAAGTTACTGAAATGAATCAGTTACTGTAAGAGAAAGTCGGGAAGGAAGGCACATTATTGGAAATGTGAGACAATACTCAGAAGTCACTATTTTTTTTCAGTATTATTTATAAACCTAAACGAGTTTGATCTTATTGGCAGAAACTGAAGTGAAAAACAATTGCATAGGTTGGTTTTAAGCACTTTGTTGTTAAAGACAAATCTGAATTTTAGTATATGTGTTGCCTGATAGATGAGACGGTAACAGTGAGTATCCAGAAATGTTTGGAAGAAGTAAGGGCTAAGCGTATGTGGGGTGGTCAGGGCGAGAGTAAGTGCAGCGGAAATGCAAGATGGCAAACGCAAGATGCCTTTGACAGAAGTACAGTATTAACTCTGCTCACACTGAGAGGCTGGGATGGAGAGAGGGGGCCCGGGGGATGGCGGCTGAGCCCCCAGAGGGGAGGTACCCCCGGGAAGTTCACGTCACTCTCCGTGACTCACTTTGTTTCCTTAGAGTTCTTGTACCTAAACATCTATTCTTTTTTAATAGTCAGGTTCATATTACCATGAAAAGAAGCCTTGAAGAGGCTTTATTTTCTTCTGATTGGAAAAAGGGAAGAGTTAGTAATAGTTTCACCCATTTCCCAAAACTGCAGCCCAGACCACTTGTGGGGCCCCCAGAGATCGCTGTGCTGTTCAAGAGGCGCTGGGGTTTTTAGCTCTCCGATCCCCTAACTTCACCCCTGAGGTTAATGTTAGCTTCTTGGTTCCTCCCCGCCCCCCACCCCCCCCCCACCCCCGTTCCGGTGCACCGATCGCATCCCGGTGGCTGAGCTAGAGAGGGAGAGTGTGGCCTTTGGTCAGGGCTGTGAGGGACTTGAGTAGGTAAGGACTTACTGGGTACGTTTCACTGCGGAGCCATCTCATTTTTCCTTCTGAGGCTGCTTCTCTAAAATGCAGAGCTTCCAAAATGCCGCATCCAGGGCTATTCCCCGAATGACAGTGTCCAAGGGATGGTTCTGATTCCCACGTTCACTCCGAAGACGGTTTAACTCACTGTTGAACGTGACTGCCGAGTGTGTGTTGTCAGCTGGGAGACCCGATTTGCTTCATACGGTGTGGATCTGCCTATCTCTGGGTTACCCAGAAACCAGCCCTTCAGAGGGTCATTCAGGACATAGTAATGAAAACGACTACTGGAAGTGGACACATTGCTCACTTAGGGACAAGATGTTAATTTTAAACCTGAAATTGTTTTAAGAGTCCTGTTTAAATAACAGTAGACCCAAGTGTAAATATTGAGAAAGAGCTCCCAGAATGGGATAAGGATTTTTATGATCATATTTCCCATCTCCACACCGAATAAAGGATGGGAGTGTTTTCAGTGTTTTTGGGTTTTTTTCTTCCATGGTACGTTTTTTTTTTTTTTTTAAATGCTTTTCTGTCAGGTTTAAACATTTTGAAGTGTTCCATTGACAAGAACATACTGTAAAACAAAAATCTAAAGAGTAATATATGGTATATTTGTGTTCCAGTTGTAATAATTATAAGTAGATTACTTCTGAGGGCGAAATTACACTATTTAAATGTCATTCTTAAAATGTCACATGTTTGACCAGCTTCTAAGACCCATGTAATTTTTTGTCCCTTTTGAATAAACTTTTTCAGTTAGTGAATATGAAAGTATTTCTGAATAAAAATCGACATTACTGGACTTTGAAGTAATGTGATTTTCAAGAGCAAACTGTACAACATTTAGGCTTCATAGGTTTACCACCACCGAATGGAGAATGTTGCTGTCTGCCAAAGTTATACAATGCTTCGCTATCTCAGTGTCTCTTTAGTTCCTTGAGATTCTAAATTTCATAGCAAAATTACCAAAATGTACATTTTCACAAAAAGTAGGTTACAAACCAGTGTTTTCCAATGGATTGATTTTGGCATCTCTGGCATCAGTCTTCCTGATTAGTGGGGTCTTTTGATGAAATATTCTCCTGAGAGTTTTGAGCACAGAAAAGTGTTCATTTAGAATGTTAAGTGCAGTCATTAGTAATTACTTTCCTCTGGAACACCTACTGTGAAGTATTCTGAAAACCCTAGTATTTAGCCTTCAAAACCCTTTGGCAGAATAAAAACAGAAGGTGGCTGGACCTGTCCTTCCTTTGAAGCTTCCAGAAAGAGCAAGGTCTAGGCAGAGACACAGAGGAAGAGTGTGTCAGGGGGGAGGGTTGAGTGATGACATTAATCAAGGCCAACTTTTCTGAGAAGCTTTCATCGTCAGAAGAAAGCCCCTTTAGGATGGGTTGATATGTTAATATTCACAACATTTAGAAGATACATATGTATATGTTATATATATAATATAAAACCTCATGTTTTAAAATGTACAACTGGAGGTCAGCTGCACTGTAGGAACAGGTTTGAGATTTGCATGAACAAATGGAAGCAAGAATTGCTGTTTGTTGTAAATTGTTTTTAAAATCAGACTTTTAAAGTTTTAATTTATTTATTCATTTTAAGCAATCTCTGCACCCAACATGGGGTTCAGATTCATGACCCTGAGATCTGGAGTCACATGCTCCTTCGACTGAGCCAGTCAGGTGCCCCTAAAATCGGACTTTTTAAAGGAACTCTTCGGGATATAAATTTAGGGAACTTCTTTCCCATCAAGATTTCATGTGGAGCAAGCTAAAACTATCTTTTTTTTTTTTTCCAGTTTAAAGTTTATTTTAAAAAAGAGATCTAAATTGGAGGGGCTCTTTATTGAGCTGAGAGACATTTCAAAAATAGAGGAATAAGTACAGTAAGAATTTGCCTGGAAAAACATTTCTCAAAAGAACATGACTTTTTCAAACTCCTCTAGATAAGGGCTCTGTTCCAGTATCTACAATTATAGAGAAATGAGGAAAAATCTGAAAGTCCAGTTATTTAAAGTTTGCACGTGTTGGGGATGAGTGGATTGAGGATTTTAGGAAACCATTGACGGGGTCCTCGGGCGGTTAAGGTGGCATAGTTTTCTGTATATTACAGTCAGTTCCCAAATAAAAATTATGCTCTAAAAGTTCAGATGTATGTGTGTGGAATTATTGAGAAAAACAGTAATATTTCCCCTTCTAAACAGTATTCCAAGTGGGTGTTAACTCTCCTGGTTTGTCCTCCCAAAGCTTGTTTGGTATAGAACCAAGTCGCCATAATCTGAACTCTGGAAAATACGCAGATTTTTCTCTCTGCTGCACCCTGGTGGTGAGGTGGGAGAACGAATTCTCTGCCTGGTGGTAGGGACTGAGGCTCACCAAGCAGTTGGTCAACTTGATCAGTGTTCGCTGAGAGAACTCCGCATCAAGGAAGATCCCATCATGTGTTACAGAAACTCGACGGCTCAGGAAGGCTAGGGGACGGATCGGGACGTGGGATGATGTGAGCGGGGGTGCCACCTCCGAAAGCACCCGTGAGGCAGGGCGGGGTGGGGTGAAGGAGGGTGAATGGGCAAACTCCCTTACCTTTCCTGTTGCGCCTGAACTCCTCTCCCTTTCCTGGCACTGGCGTCACATGGGAAGCAGGTGATGGGCCAAGAAGGAGGTTTAAGGTCTGCAGTACCTTGCAGTTCCAAGGCAAATGTCTCCACGCAAAGGGTATCTAGGTCACACATACAGAACGTACAGTCTGGCGCACATCCTGTTTCCAAAATGTTTAAATTACCCCTCGTATTTGGGAAATTAAAGTAGTTTTCAAAAATCTAGAGTAACTTTTCCCAATATGTTGATGGATTAAGGGATAGTAGCCACTTTAAATTATGCTTCAGTAGTATCGGTAAGTACAGATGGATGACAAGAAAGGAATAATTGTCTTTGGACTTCTAACTGGAACTACCAGTATGGATGTTGACTTGAAAAATTACTAGCTGTATAAAGCTCGATCATTATTTAGTTATTTTTTTTAGTTTTGTGGCGTGTCATGTAAAAAGACTTAAAATCTCTAAAATCCCCTGGCTTTGGATCTATAATACAGTGTCTCCACACTTACTATAGCAATACCCGATGCTACTGTAATCAATCTACAGTTTTAACTGAGCTGGTTGGTTTTTAAGCTGTGTAAAAATATCAGTACTCTATATAAGTTGTCAAATGTCCACACTATGGGCATTTTAAGTGTGCATGTGTATTTTAAATTCACACTCTAAAAACTTGCGGGGAAAAAAATCTACAGTATTCACTCTTGGGAGCGAGTCTATGCCAAAGAAATTCAGGTTGGGTTATCTGGGTTAACCAGAACATGAATCTGGCTTCAATTTGGGGGGCAGGTTGATGACACTAGTACAGAATTAATGATGACTGGCTTTCCATTTCAACCTGCTCACTCATCAGCTGAGAAAATCTGAACAAATGAATGAGGGATAGAAGCTCAGTCACTCATTTTTTTAGAAGAATGCAAACGTCATAGGTCATATGCGATCATAAGTGCTGGGAGGCTGTCCTAGAAGTTTATTAGAAATCACTTGAAATTAATGGACCACTGAATGAGACAAGATCTTTTTCCTTATTTTATACTGCTATTCTTCAAAGTGTAATTTGATCTTAGAGTTAACTATCCCCCAAAGGATCTAATGGTTTTGCGGTTTTACTGGAATAAAACCAGTGCAAATACTGGTTCCGGCCAAGTAGCCTGAGAAAGTAAATATTCTCCAGAGGTGACAAACTTATTTCCAGAAGAGATTTTTTTTAAAACAAGGTTAAAAAATAGTACAAAATTCAGGTTAACCCTCAGGAGTTAAAAGGTGAAAGAAAACAAACTAGAATTTGTAACAAGTTTTAGGCCAGTGGAGCTCTAATGGGTTTTATTTACATAGTTTCATTTTTTATGGCAGGACAGAGAAATTGAAGCAGTAGTTATTGTGTAGGGATGATTCTTAATGCTTTGAAACTTCTCCGTTAATATCAGCTTGGACCCTTCCATATTAGAGTTTCTCAATTCTGTATTAAAGTAAGCAGCTTAATTTCTTATAGAACTGAGCTATTACACAATTATAAGTATATGCAATTTCTAAGCAACACAAAATGAGGGGAAAAATAAAAATATTCATTCGTATATCCAGCCTTTTTAAAAGCTTGGATGTTTACCTTACTCAACAGATTGGCACAGGGCCATTGGAATATGTTTGCTTTTTTACTGTATTCTCATGTAATTTTTTATATTATGATATAAAACAGATTTTTTATCATGCAAATGTTAAATATTTTCCTATGAAAACACCTCAATGTTTCATTCTATTGTGCTTAAAGGAGGAAATATTCTGAGATATAAATATGCAGTTTGGCTCTGTTGAAGAATTACACTGTAACAAACCAGAAATTTGTTGTGTATTTCTGAGTTATATGATCTGGTTAAAAACTGAAACAATACAAACCCTACCCACAGTGAATTTAGCAGAGCATAGTTTAAAAATCAACATCTAGATAGCAAGTCTATTTAAGTAAAAATTCCCACAGAAGTTAATATGATTTAACAGACCTAATAAACCCAAAATTTGGAGAAAATTTATATGAAATATATTTTCTTAGAAAGTTGCCCTATAATTCAAGCAATGCATTGGGAATTCTATCTTTTGACATGCTAGTATAGAGTTGTCTAGCATTATTTTCTAGTTTAAAAAGCAATTTTAAGTGCTGTCTGAAGATTAATAATGTAAAAATGTATAGTCAGAGGAACTTAATTATTCTAAAAACCATCATTGGTTTGTAAAATTGTGTACATTTAATGGGCGAAAAAGTTTGAATGACTGTATTTAATATATGTGAAATGAATGTATTAGTTTTTGCCATAAAAATAAATATTGAAGATATAACTCGTGTGAATATATTAGTACAATTAAAGCTATTTTGCTTGTGTTTTTTTCACTCTAGATCTTATTGCATGGAGGCATATAATTAGTCCCATTTCCCCACTGGATTTATTCTTTATACTAATTAATTAACTAATTTATAAGAGAGAGTGCGAGAGTGCAAGCATACGGGTGCACACGGGAGGAGGGGCAGAGGGAGAGGGAGAGAATGTTAAGCAGGGCTCCACGCCCAGCACAGAGCCCCATCTCATGACCCTGGGAATCGTGACCTGAGCTGAAATCAAGAGTTGAGCGCTTAGTCAACTGAGCTGCCCAGGCATCCTCTCTGCTGGATTATTTTAAATAATCTGGGGCGTCCGGGTGGCTCAGATGGTTAAACGTCTGCCCTCGGCGGGGGTCCTGGGATCGAGCCAGTGGGGAGCATGCTTCTCCCTCTCATTCTACTCCTCCTCCCTGCTTGTGCTCTCTCGCGCTCTCTGTCAAATAAAATCGGAGAGGAGGAGAGGAGGGGAGGGGAGAGGAGAGCTCCTCACACCCCCAGCCCTGGAGTGGAGTTTTTTTTTAGACCAGCAACAGCAGCACTGGAAACTTGTTAGAAATTCAAATTCTCTTGGGGCGCCTGGGTGGCGCAGGGGTTAAACGTCTGCCTTCTGCTCAGGTCATGATCCCGGGGCCTGGGATTGAGCACCGCATGGGGCTCCCTGCTCAGCGGGAAGCCTGCTTCTCCTTCTGACCCTCTCCCCTCTCATGCTCTCTCTCTCAAATAAATAAATAAAATATTTTAAAAAAGAAATTCAAATTCTCCAGGGTTGTCCTGGGTCTGAAAATTCCGAATCCGAAGCTAGCAGGGAGGAGGCCCAGAAATCGGCCTTCACAAGTTCTCCAGGTGATTCTGACATGCGTTCAGCATGAGAACCACTGCTTCCATAACTTAAAAAGCCACAGGGGTTCCAGAGATCTCAAGCTGGGATTCCTTACACAGCCAGATGTGAACGCTACTTCACGTGGAAAAAGGGATTTTGCAGAAAAAGATTTTATTTGACAGAGACACAGTGAAGAGGGAACGCAAGCTGGGGGAGTGGGAGATCATGACCTGAGCCAAAGGCAGACACCCAACCAACTGAGCCGTCCAGGTGTCCCAAGATTTTAGTTTTAATATGCCAGAGTTAGCCTTGGCTTAATTCCTAGGGGCTCTAGAAATTATCGTTGAGCTAATGAAGATCTAGAAGTAGCTGGTTACCCTTCATGCGCTGGTCCGGCCGTGAGGGCATTGAGCCCCACGTTGGGCTCTGCTTCTCCCTCTCCCTCTGCTGCTCCCCCTGCTCGTGCTCTCTTGCTCATTCTCTCCTCTCTCAAATAAAATCTTAAAAAAATAAAATCTTTGGATCATCTAGTCCAAACCCTTAAAACAGGGCCCAGGGTAAATTCGTTCACAGGCAACCTCGCAACTAATTGATCCGCTTGGCAAATTGTCTTGCCCTGTAAAAGCCGCTCTGATCTTTTCTGATTGGCTTCACTGGGGGAAAAAAAAGTGAGTTTTAGAAGTAAGGCTTCTCAGGAAGATGCTAATTTATATTTTATACCATGTAAAACGTGAGCAAATGAGGAAATTTTCTTATAATTTAGCAGTTTGCTACATTCTCCCTTCCATGGGGAATTTGCACTTTGAGTGTTTTCCCCCTAACCTCCCCTGTGCCTAAGCCTCTCCTCTAGCTTCAACTGTCTCCCTCCGTGAACAAATGCATTCATTCTCAAGCAGACAGGGATCCAAAGAGAAATGTCTTTCATCTTAAGAAGCCCATAGTCTAGACTGGAGAGAAACTAGGCACATAAACAATATTATAATTCATACTATAGATCTGAGAGATCCCAGATCCCAGAGCAAGTGGGACAAATGTTAGGGCAATCAGACAAGGTCTCATGGTGTTACAATCTGGGCTGTCAGGGAAGGCCCAAGAGGGCGGTACAGGGGAAACGATATTCTGAGCTGGTAGCAAGTACGAAGGGCTGGCGGGGGGAGAGAGAGAGGGAGGGAGGGAGAGAGGACCTCTGCCAAGTTTAAGGAACAAGTAATTCGACGTGCTAGACAATTAGGATGTTTGGGGGAGGATGGCAGATGAGCTGGGAAGGAGGATGACTTAATAAAGAATGGAAAGGGCCCTGGACTTTATCTTGTCAGCAAGAGGAAACTCTCAAACGTGGTTGTTTTTGAAGGGAGTGGTGACAGGATCTGCGTTAGAATAGCCACTGTGAATATTTAGTTCACATACAACCTATTTAGTTCTTAGAGCCCAGCGGCGAAGGCTCTGAATTACAAGCATTCAACAACCGAGGCCGCCCACAGAGGCTGGTGACCCAGCTCCCCGTCACAGCTCGCAAGGATCAGACCCAGGCGGTCTGTCTCACAGGCTCTCTTCACACCAGGGAGCAGAGTGGAGGATGGACTGCGGCAGGAGGGGGGAGGGGAGAGACTAAGACGCTGCTGGAAGCCTCTAAGCCAGTGTTTCCCAAACATAACGGGCACCTCCCACCTTTGCACAACTTTTGCCAGAACCAAGCACCACTTTTGATATTTCTTTTTTTTTTTTTTTTAAAGATTTTATTTATTTATTTGACAGAGAGAGACACAGCGAGAGAGGGAACACAAGCAGGGGGAATGGGAGAGGGAGAAGCAGGCTTCCCGCCGAGCAGGGAGCCCGATGCGGGGCTCGATCCCAGGACCCTGGGATCATGACCTGAGCCGAAGGCAGACGCTTAACGACTGAGCCACCCAGGCGCCCCTTGATATTTCTTTAAACCAACACATCTAAGCTTGAACTTTAAAGGGAAACCGGAGGACGATGACGACGACAACCACAACAAAATACCCTAAAAGGTACAAAAATGAGGATGGGTCATGGTCCTAGAGACAAAAAGCTGTACCCAGAGTTAGAGCTTGGAGACCAGACATGGCAAAGCAGGAAATGGCAGGCCTGAGGCTGAGCCCCAAGCGTGGAGAACCAGCAAGAAGCCAGTTAGCGAGAACCCCTTAAGCAAGATGGCAGCTCCAGGAAAGGGAGGAAAATCGGAGCCAGGGCAGTAAGTCTGAGGTAGCTGCAAGGGTAATGGGGTAAGGGGTTTGTGGAAGACTGACGCTGGGACTGAAGAAAGGAACCCTGGGGGCTGAGAGAAGGATGGAGCCCAAAAAGAGAGGGGTGACTGATGGGGAGGCCCAGGGTGGGAGCCAAGCATAGGGTTGAGGATCTTTTAGGAGATTGAAGAGGACTGTAGGATGGGAAAGGAAGGGGTTTACTCAGAAAGTTGGAGGGGGGAGAATTCCACAGGTGGGAGCTGAGGGGTAGGTGGGGCTGAGGAAGGGCTGCAGCAGGGTGACTTGGGGCCTACGATATTGGGGAAGTGGGTTGGGTGCTCAGTCCCACTATATTGTACTTTGCAGGTTGTCCCTGAGCCTGAATCCTGAACACAGTGGTGACAATCAGCTTCCCATGAGAGAGATAGATCTTCACCTATCTACCACCAGAAATCAGCTCTAATACCTCCAGTGGTATGCACTACCTTTGTGGAAACACTGGGTGGGCAGCAGTGTGGGATGATAAAAGCCTGAGTTGAAGACTGGAATACTTGGGGGCCATTGCTAAGTTTCTAGAACATCTGGGTTATCATCATTATTTTGTTTCATCTTTTTATCCTTCATAGTCCCTAGGCATGAAACTGGGACTCGAATATTCAATTACATTATTATAAGCAGTTGAAAAAATATGAATAGAGATAAGTCTTCTGAGACATATCTTTTTTTTAAAAAAGATTTTATTTATTTATTTATTCGACAGAGAGAGACACAGCGAGAGAGGGAACACAAGCAGGGGGAGTGGCTGAGGGAGAAGCAGGCCTCCTGCTGAGCAGGGAGCCAGATGCGGGGCTCGATCCCAGGACCCTGGGATCATGACCTGAGCCGAAGGCAGACGCTTAACGACTTGAGCCACCCAGGAGCCCCTTCTGAGACATATCTTAATAGTAAATAGCCCACTCATGAACTACAAGGCCAAGAGAGTATCAAACCGGGTTGACAGAATGTTTGCCCTCATTAAGAAGGGACAATTTTTCGGAGAGCTGACACTCTGCCCTAGCTCACTGATAACTAGAAAGGCCTTGAAGCTTTAGATATTGCAGGAAAGTGATAAAGAAGAAATTAAAGATACTACAGATAAGGCTTAATGTTTCAAGATCCAAGCCAGATCATAAACCATTTCCCATTGCATACAAAATCACTTACGTCTGGGTAAAATATGATCCCCTGAAAGGCAACTTTAGAAATCGTGGCCGACAGATCCTAGGGGGACCCCGTGATTCTCACCTTCTGGCATTCATACCCTTGTATAATATCTCCACTCCTTAAGTGTGGGCAGGACCTGTGACTCGCCTCTAACTAAAAGGTAGCAAAGGTGATGGAAAGTCGTTCCTGTGATTACATTGGGTATTATCTCACTAGCCTTCAAGAAGCAAGCAGCGAGGGGTGCCTGGGTGGCTCAGTTGTTGGGCGTCTGCCTTCGGCTCAGGTCATGATCCTGAGCCCTGCATCGGGCTCCCTGCTCAGTGGGAGGCCTGCTTCTCCCTCTCCCACTCCCCCTGCTTGTGTTCCCTCTCTTCCTGCATCTCTCAACTGTCAAGTAAATAAAATCTTAAAAAAAAAAAGCAAGCATAGATGCTGTGGCTGCTTACCAAGTGGTAGGGAATGGTGGGCAGCCTCTAGAAGCTGAGGGCAGCCAATGGCCTGCAAAAAAAAAGCCCTCAGAGCTACAGTTACAGGGAAAGGAATTCTGCAAACAACCTGCAAAGAGTTTGGAAGCAGATTCTTGCCCCAGTCAAGTCTCCAGATGAGACCATAGCTCCAAATGACACCTGGCTTGTAGCCTTGAAACCCAGAGCAGACACATCTAAGTTATGCCCAGACTCCTGATACACAGAAACTGTGGGATAAATAATACATGTGTGTAGTTTTAAGCTGCTAATTTAAAGTATTGTTATAGAGCACAGAAAGCAAATACAGAAGTCTTAATATATGAAAGAATAAAACAGAGGAAAAGGAATATTGAATTATTGGCCATTTGGGATATTTATTAATGAAGATCAAACATCCAAAGGGCAGTCCTCAATGCTCATTTCCATGATTTTAAGAGTTGGTCCTGCCATGTCATGACTGTTGTCACCTTGGACACTGTGAAGCTGAAGAGCCGGGGAGAGTTCTGTGCTAAGACAACATAATTCATTTGAACTCTCTGCCTTTTCGGTGTCACTATCCCCTTCAATGACATTCACAGAGGTCTCTTGGACCGTTAAGCTGTCGGAGACACTCGGATTTTTGTCATCCCAAACCGAAGGTCCAAGATTTGTTTCATCATTCACTTGTTGAATTATAACCCCTTCTGAGTACTTTGATTTATAGATGGGCAGGAAAAATTCATTTGGTGAAGAGAGGCTCTCATTCTCATCCTTTGGTACAGACAATAACATATCCAAAGCTTTTTGGTATTCTTGACGTTCCTGCTGAATTGTGGTATCATGTTTACTTTTATCTTCATTTTCTTCTGAATTCTCAGCCTGTTCAAAATCAAGTAAATTCAGCATATCAGTATCATCCAGCTTTACTGAGTTTTCTCTGGATGTGCAGCCTAAGTCCACCTTCAGGACATGCAGCAGATGGCGCATTTTTTCCTAGGATTAAGACAAGACGGGAATAATTACATTAATTAAGCTAGTCAAATTGAACTGCTTTTGTCTGCAGTGCTGCTCATCTCAGCAGGGTTAACGCTTCTTTCCTTCCTCCCCGCCCCCCGCCATACACACAGAAGGTACAAGGGAAAAACAGCACTTGCTTTTAATGCATTTTTTGAGGCTATGGAAAAACTTTAAAATTCTTTCCATATTAGAATTTTTTCTAATGAATGTCTAAAGAAAGACAAACCTCCTCCAAATGATGTTTATTTTGTTTTATGTGTCGCTCAAATAGGCGTTCTAAAAACCTAAAAATGATAAATAGAAATGTTAATGTCTCAAAATCAGAAAATCAATTAAATACAAAATAGCCATGCAATAATAGAACTACTAAAGGTTGAAAAGTATTTTTTAGATTCTTCTTTTTCTTTCCAAAGCTGAACACTTAATTCTTCCCTGTTCTGTCAAGTTCTCCAATTTGGGAGCTAGTATGGCTTTTGTTTTTGTTTAACTTTTGTAACAGATGCCATTGTTTCTGAAAGATTATATACCACTTCTATTTCTGTGAAAATATTTTAAAAGAGGTCCAACAATACCCCTGCCACACACCAAAAAGCATTTTTCCCTCTCACACACATATATAAACACCAAAAGCCTCTCCCTCCCCTTCTCTTTCACATACACAAACCCCCCAAACCAAACCCTAAAGGAAATTCTCTTATAGTTATTTTACAATGCATCCTCAATTATACTTGAAAAAAAAATTCCACTGACGGTAAATCCACATAATAACCTAAAAGCTATCACTTATTACATACCACTAAGGTCTAGACATTTGTGCCAGACACACAATCATTATACTTCTAATCACAACCAATATTTGGAGAGAAAGGTACTGTAAAGATCATTTTAAAGATGAGAAAATGATCTAAGATGATGACTTCCTCTAAGGTCACAAGCCATTAAGAGAATTTAACCCAGATGTGTCTGGCTCCAGAGAAATTATTTTTCAACTACACTATGCTTGTCTTGTTATCACATGAATGTATCAATACCTTTGTTGAAAAACAACTCCTTTGTTACCATTTGTTATTATAAGCCAATCTTAGATTTAGTGGTTCTGCTTTATTCAGCAATTTTTAAAAAAGATTTATATATTTGTTTTAGAGAGAGACAGGAGAGAGCACGTGCACAGTGGGGGGTAGAGGCAGAAGCAGAGGGAGAGAGAATCTCAAGCAGACTTCCTGCTGAGTGGGGAGCCTGACATAGGGCTCGATCTCATGACCCATGAGATCATGACCCACGAGATCATGACCTGAGCTGAAACCCAGAGTCAGATGCTTAACCAACTGGGCCACCCAGGTGTCCCAACTTAGCAATTTTTTAAAAGCCCAAGAAATCTGTATTCTACCTTTTATAAATAATACATACTGTTTGGGTACCTATTTTGTTTTTTCTCATCAACTGTATATTTTGAACATTTTTCTGTATAAATAAATTCACTTCTAAAACATCATTTTAAGTCCCTAACCAGAACTTGCTCTTGTAAATATTCAACAATTTATTCAACCAAACCTTTACTATTCAATGTATGGGTTGGTTCCATATTTTTGGTGCTTTTATAACAAATGCTGCAATAAATAGCTTTTTAATCTAAAGGAAAAATTTAAGTTTTTTTTCTACAATAAACACTTGCTCTATGCAAATGTATTTTGTTTTTGCTTCTAACTTGTGCTTTATTTTTTGATTTACAGTTGGAATCTTAATACTTTTGTTGTGATGGTAAAAAACAGGTAATATAAAATTTACCATTTAACCATTTTTAAATGTATAGTTCAGTATTGTTAAATATATTCACATTGTTATGAAACAGACCAATAGAAGTTTTTCATCTTGCAAATCTGAAACTCTATAACCATTATGAAAACATTTTTAGCCACCTTTTTAAAACAAAAGTAGTAAACAATTATTATAAAAAAAAACTTAGGTCTTTTAGTATATCTTTTTGTAGTAATAATACAAATGTTTACTTTAATTAAAAAAAACTTCACATAGGAATAGAAATAATTCATTAGAAATGTTGTACTTGACATATTTCAACGGGGTATGTAGTATAAATAATGGAGTTCTATGATAGATAACGTTAAGTGGGCCTTGAAGAGTTCCTTTTTTCGGGGCGCCTGGGTGGCTCATTCGGCTCGGGTCATGATCCCAGGGTCCTGGGATCAAGCCCCGCATCGGGCTCTCTGCTCCGCAGGAAGCCTGCTTCTCCCTCTCCCTCTCCCCCTGCTTGTGCTCCCTCTCTCGCTGTGTCTCTGTCAAATAAATAAATACAATCTTTTTTTTTAAAAAAAAGATCTACTCTCTCACAAAGTACTTTGAAATACACAACAGAGTACTACTAACTATAGTCGCCATGCTATACATTACATCCCCATGACTTATTTATTTTATAACTGAGAGTTTTACCTTTTGACTACCTTTACCCATTTCGCCTACCCCCCACCACTGGCAACCACCAATCTGTTCTCTGCATCTAAGAGAAATAACAGTATTTAAATGAATAAAATCTCTGCTCTTTTCTGTAACTCCCCAAACTGTGAACTTGCCTTATATGGTAAGAATTAAACATTCTTTATAATTTGCTATCAATTATAAGAATACGTCCCCCCTAAGAGGCGCCTGGGTGACTCATTCAGTTAAGCATCCGACTTTTGATTTTGGCTCAGGTCACGACCTCAGAGTCGTGAGACTGAGCCCCGCATTGGGCTCCATGCTCAGTGAGAAGTTTGCTTGTCTCTCTCTCCCTCTACCCCTCCCCCGACTTGCATGCTCTCTCTCTCAAATAAATAAATCTTTTTTTTTATTTTTTAATTTTAAAAAAGATTTTATTTATTTGACAGAGAGTGCACAAGCAGGGGAAGTGGCAGGCAGAGGGAGAGGGAGAAGCAGGCTCTCCACTGAGCTGGAAGCCCGATGTGGGGCTGGATGCCAGGACCCTGGGATCATGACCTGAGCTGAAGGCAGAAGCTCAACCGACTGAACCACCCAGGCACCCCAATAAATCTTTTTTTTTAAAATGTCCTCCCCAAGAAAGCAACATAATTTTTCATTTCCTAATATGTATAAATAACTTAAAGGAATTAACATGATAAGGATGAATATTTAATGTACTATTCAACCACCATAATATAATTTAAAAAATCTAACCTGTTTGAAAATAAACCAAGTTTCAAAATTTCATCTGTTACATCTTCAATGAAACTCAGATATAACAGTTCTTCTTCACTGTGAAAACAAAGCAGTATACAGCATAAAAATTATTTCCTACTTACACTGAAAACTATAGGAAGCACGAGTACCTAATTAGAAATATCTACCACTACTATAACAAATATACTGCTATCTCACATTTAAGAGGAATGTTACAAAAAAAACTTATGTCTACATTCTTAAATTATGCAAAGAAAGATGAGAAAATGTTCCCTAATCAAGTAAAATTTCATAGATGTGTATAGCATCCATCTAGTACTAACAGATAAGCAGGAATTAAAACAGCAAACGAACAAAAAACCAATAAAACAAAACTAAAAAAAACCCACACACAAAACAAACAAAAAACAAAACAGAGCAACCAAGTACAAAAGGGCAACCAAATGTGAACCACCACTGGGGGTGTGTGTTCTTGAAAAGCATTTTACAGGTCCTGACTTCTGACCATGTCAAGCAGCAGAGGTGTGAGCCCTGTGCATGGATGGCACTTAGAGGAGGGGAAAGAGGAAACTCATCCAGAGAAGCAAGAACTTCAAGTATGAAATCCTCTTCTGCTCCTAGAAGAGCATCTTGTTTGAAGGTTGGGAAATTTATTGAGCAGAAAAAATTATTCTTTTTTCTCAAAATGTATGGAGAGGAAAAAAAAGATGATAGTAGGGAAATTTATGTATATAAATATAGTGATAATTTTTAATTACGTGGGCACATTTCTTTATAACATATTTTAATAACCAGTACAAGAAAATGGAAATTATAAATTTGATTTTAATTAGCTGAAATCAGTGAATTGATAGAAATCTAAGTAGCAAGTAACCACACAATTATTCAATAAGTAAATGTAAGGGGAAGAATTAAGAAAATTAGATAATAGAAGATTAAAATGTTATATAAAAAGTTACACTTTCAAACTGATTCTCAGGCTCTAATATTTAAGCAGCAAGTTTGAGAATAAATGAAACTCTAATATAGATGATATTCCCTGAAAAAGTGTAGCTTAACTAAAATGACATTAAATCGTAGAAGTATGCTATCTGTAAAGACCTGGTGAGGTTAGAAACTCCTGGAAGGGTATCCTGAGCTATCCAAAGTCTGCATTTCTCTAAAACTCTTGTTATTCTTATTTATCTGTATGGGTACTAATTATAAAAAAAAAAAACAACCCAGCAGGCATTATTAACTTAGGGAAAATTTCCCCTGGTCCCCTGGACATAAAGATGAACTGATTGATGACTACTTCAGAAAATTCTGATCATTCTCAAATTTAGGGTATATTATATGATTGAACTCCAAAGCTAGTTGTAAGAGAAATCAGTATTCAGTCCTGACTTATTTAATAATAGTTTGTGTGATTCTTAATTCTTGATTTCCGCTAAGCAAAATGAAGAGGTCAAAAAGATCTTACTCAGAGTGGAGTTTTCTCTCTGGAGGAAGCTGCAGGGAATACTGACATACTGCCCTGGAAAGAGAAAATTACAATATTTGAACAAAATAATGACTGTCATGCAATAAGTGTTCAATAATATATATTAGTAATAATGTATTTTAGAATTTTGGAAGTACTTTCCTATCCATGATTTGATCTAATATTCAGAACAACCCCGACGGTATATTGGGTAGGTATTATTTTTTCCACTGACTGATGAGTTCACCAGGGGGCAGAACAGTTGGGTAACTTGCCAAGGACAGGTGTTAATAAGTAGCAAAGATATTTTTAATTAGTCTTCTGACTACAAATTCACTGTACATATGTATGTATGTATGTATTTAGTAGGCTCCATGCCCAGTGTGGGGCTTGAACTCACCACCCTGTGATCAAGACCTGAGCTGAGATCAGGAGTCGGATGCTTAACTGACTGGGCCACCTCAGTGCTACCACAATCCTTTTCCCAACTGAACTACAGCACTTACCTAGTACACACAATTTCACTTTGACTAAGGTTAACATATAAATAATGCTGGAAACAGATTATTTCCCCATGAAAAACTGTTTTAAGTTGGTCATTGTGATAAATTTTGTCAATATTTAGTTATGTCATCATTAGTTAATTCCAATCTTTTTTTTCGGGTATGCTCAATTATAAATATTTTTACTTCTTTTAGACAGAAACTACTAGAAAAGATAAATATTCCTTTCTTTAGGCCATTCTTTATATTCATTTGCAGAGTGGCTCAAGAGTTAGCTTATAAATCTTGTTATGAGTACTGAAGCATCATGAATTTCAAGACAAGAGAGGTTAGCAGTGAACCGCCCACAGCCCTGCCAGGTGCTGTCTCCCTGGGAAGGGCCTGAGGAAGGATCTGGGCTCTGAGGGATCACGTGTGCTGGCCTTCTGGTCTGCTACATGACACCTCATTCTTACCCTCTTTTTAATCTCTAGTCCTTTATTTATACCTTCTTCATCTCATATACAATCTCTGACACTGGACATACATTTGACAGCTGAAACTACCAAAGGCATCTTTGCTAACCTATCATTTTTATCTAGGTGTAGTATTCCATAATTACTAAATATGCATAGTTTTTAAAAACAGTGCCAGTACACGGCAGTGACAGATAAAACACTAGCATATGGTGAATATTCAAAATCATCAATTATGAATCCTCAAATCGTGAGGTTCCTCAGTATTATTTCTGCCACAGATTTTGTCTTCAGGAAAATCCTTTCCCCCTCCCTTCTTCCCTCCCTCCCTCCCTTCCGAGTGTGCACGTGTACAAGGGGCGGGGGGGCAGAGGAAGAGAGAGAGAATCTTAAGCATGCTCCACACCCAGCATGGAGCCCAATGCGGGGCTTGATCTCATGACCCTGGGATCATGACCCAAGTTGAAATCAAGAGTTGGACACTTAACCAACTGAGCCACCCAGGCACTCCAGGAAAATACTTTTTCATATGAATAGCAATGGCAAATAATACAAGCCAGTATCGCCTTTTTCTTTCTTAATGAATTAGCAAAATGAATTCATTTAAACTTTTATTGAGAACCTACTTTGTACAATTTCCTTAGTAAAAATAACACTGCCGCTGAACTGTATAACACTAAAATAGATTAAAGTGCATGTGATTAGAGTAGGACTTATGTTGCAAATATTATATGTCTGTTACACAGGAAAGCAGTTAAATAGACAGTTGCAATGACTTCTGTCACCTGCTTACCTTGGTGAGGAACACTGAAGTGTACCATCTTTAATCTCATCCCATGGTAAGTCATGCCCTTGTAAGGGTAAAGGAGCTATTTTTCCTTTGATATCATATGTCATACAATTAGATGCCTAGGGATGTAATGAGAAGAATCTATCTTTATTTTGCTTCAAAAACACATTATGAAAGCAGAAATAAAGCAAAATAGCAAATTTCAAAAAAGTCAAGGAAAAAGAGTGGAGATATCCCATAGGTAAAAGTGACTGATACAGGGTGCCTGGGTGGCTCAGTTGGTTAAGTGACCACCTTCAAAGTCTGACAGGGTTATGGATAAGCATTTGGAGCACAACGCCATGAAAATGGACTTCTGCTTTAATTTATTTAGTTATCTACAGAGCTAACTGTCTTCCTAAATCTCAAGCTAGTCATAGCCATCAATACTGAGCCCTTCTCAGACTAGGCACTTTAGGCCTATGCCTCCAATGATCCTACATGTTAAGTAGTTTTTCTAGATCTGAAAATTCAGCTTTCAGAGGATAAGCGATTTGTCCTTGAGCTTTGAGTGGCAGGGCCCCATGTCAAACAGGTATTCATGACCGAGATGGAAACTGACAATTCTCTACCCATATTCAGAAGAGAACAGAAGTTCAGTGTGATTATATTCTTTTATCCCCGAAATCTGTTTGACATTTTATTAAATACTTCTTTTTAAAAGATTTTATTTATTCATGAGAGAGAGAGAGAGAGAGGGAGGGAGAGAGTACGCATGAGTGGGGGGTGAGGCAGAGGGAGACGGAGAACCAGACTCCCGATCCCAGGACCCTGAGATCATGACCTGAGCTGAAGTCAGACGCTTAACCAAATGAGCCACCCAGTGCCCCTGTGTTTGACATTTTAATAGACAAACTGTTTTTATAAGCAATAAATTTAAAATAGGACACAAGTGTATGATTAATACCCCCAAATAAAAATAAAATATGAAAATGAGACTTAAAGCTGTAATATTTTAGAAGAAATGACTGCTAACCACTCAAAACATAAACACTATAAAAAAAGAGCCTTATGGTCTAGAAAAAAGTAAAAGCAAATATAAGAGAATGATATCCATCTATTCTTATATAATTTCCAATAATCAGTGGCAATTCAAAAAAAAAATACAGGCACAGAAACCAAAAACTTTGGCATAGCTTTTCTGGCTCCTTCAGTGATCCAAGTCTACATCTTTGAAAGCAACATTTAAGGTATTTTATTCATTTATTCATCTCTCTAGCCAGCCAACCAACCATCTAGAAAAAGTGCTAGCAACAAACGATTTCCCAGACTGGGCAGGATCTATCTGGCCACTCAAAGAGACCTATAGCCATGTATAAATAGGTAGTCTTTCTCTATACTGGCTACATTATCTGCAAGAAGTGTCACCAGAAGATTATTCAAGTCCAAACAGCTATATATATTTTATTAAGTTAAAGCAGCTATAATTCCAATGTGGCACACAGAGAGATCTCATTTTTATTACCTGCTTTGTGTTCTCTTCTGAATCTGTGGAGTTCTTGATGTCAACTGTCTCAAAATCAGATTTAAAGCTGGAATATTTTAAAAAGGAGCAATTGTCAAAATACAAACCTTCAAAATACAAACACCCTGATAAGTTTACGGTCTTAAAAAACCTCTCACACATAAGAGATGAAATCCATCTATTCTTATAAAATGTGTAATTTCTTATTATATAATCAGGAAATAGACATGGTTTGGATTACACAGCTTATTTTTCCTTTTTTTGAATAGCAGCTAAATTTCCGCTGGATAGGATGGGACTAGGGAAATGGGAACCATTAATCCTCAAAAGCTTTCATACATACACAATTAGAAAAGGATACCATATGCTTGCTTTCCTTACTTCTCTCTATTCCTTAATTCTTGGGATTAAATGAATGCAGACTCATCTGATATTACTGTACCTCTTATCTATACCCAGAGAAAATACTAGTCCTAAATTTTTTTTTTTTTTCGCTTTCTTAAAAAGAACTAAAACCTAGGACCAGGTAAATAGTTGTTTAAATAACACCAGGAACAACAATCACAAATCAGTTAACACTTAATACTTTATAAGATTTGTTTGTTTCTTCAATCATTTGGCAAACTTTTACTGAATATTCATTATGTGTCAGGCACTATCAAATCTGAAAACATTATTGAGGCAAATTATACTTAATTTACAGAAATTATCCCACTTGGCTAAATTATTCCTGGGGAGTTGCTGCTATGTAAGAGTGGGGTTGAATATTTGCAGGAAGGGAACCCAAAGAGAGCCAGAGAAACAGTGTTTTTTTCCTTGATAGCCCATTGTTTTGCCGTTTTTAACACAAATCTATAGACGTATTTACACAAATGCTATTTGATGACATATTTTAAGGATTCTCTGAAAGTATATTTAAAAGCATATACCATGTTTGGAAACAATAAATTAAAATATGTAATATTCCTGTTTATAAGGAGCTTGACAAGTTTAATAACTACTTTTCAACAATTACTTAGGTAGTTCTAGTGATACATACAAAAGGAAAAGTCACATTAATCTCATCCAATTCAAAAGGGCACTACCAGACCTTAAGTCCGACACATTAGGTACATGATATAAAATAAGAAATATTATTTAATTCTACAAGACCCTGAAGGACTTACTACTGGCTGTGAATGTGCCATACCTGCTTAATTCAGTCTGGGTTTCAGCTTCTATCCGCTGGTCTGTAAAATCTTTTTTTCTTTTGGCGGGCGTGTAGTATCGGTAATGTGACAGGAAAGACTTTGCTTCTGTTTTTAAAGTGCGTGGAGTGAATGGCAAATGTCTGTTGGAAAAGAGTTCAGAATGTTTATCCAAAAGGTCCCCACTGGGTGCTTTTGAAATAACTAACTGAAACCGGTGGGTATTTGGGAATGTGCTCTTGGGCCCTCTGCCATATGAAGTTCCAGAGCATGCTCTCCTGGGCCCAGAGGCAGTGTAATCCACGTTGAACACAGAGCAACTGGAGTTCTTCTCGGTACCATTTGTGAGGACTTTATCAGATTTAGGTAGATTTAGGTGTAGTCTCTCTGAAGAAGTTACTGGTGACCTTGGTGACCTTGTAAAGGATGAAAATCCATTCACTTCTCCAATTAACACATCTTCATCTTGTGGTTCTCCTGAGGGCTAAGAATATTTGGTTTGATTGTCATCAATTATGTTTACAAATTCACCTAACTGGGACTCTCCACATTATATACCAAAAAATAGATGCCTTAGTGGGTTTAGAGATGATATATTCCCGAAGATGTTAGCACTATATATGAAGTTCTGTTCAAGGTTTTGAATTATTAATATATAAAAATATAATTCTAAATATAATAGCAATCAATTTTTTTTAAGATTTTATTTATTTGAGAGAGTGAGTAAGACAGAGAGAAAGTGGGAGTGAACATGAGTGGGTGGTAGGGGCAGAGGGAAAGAGAGAAGCAGACTCCCCACTGAGCAGGGAGCCCGAAGCGGGGCTCAATCCTAGCACCCTGGGATCACGACCTAAGCGGAAGCCACTTAGGTGCCCCAGCAATCATTTTTCTTTCTGAAACTAAAAAAAAAAATAATTACTAACATCTACCTACATTTATGGTCTTGAACTTGTGTACTGAGATCAGGTAGATCTCAGTTTTATCTGAAAATTTCCAAACCACTCGTGAACACCAATCCCCTTCTCAATCACTCTGTTGGTGGTGGCATCCTTCCCCTCCCATCATGTCTTTATGGCAATCTCCAGCGTCAGCAGTTCCTCAGACTTCAAGGCTTTGAAGAAATGAAAAGAACTTCTCAACTTCTCCTCATGAGTGGGGAAAGCTGAAAGGGAAGACGTTTTGGACTGCTCCATTTCTTTCTGGTTTAATTTTGGAAGAACCATTTCTACAGGGTATCCACAAAGTCTTAAAACATAGATAATATTTTATTCTTTTACAGATTAGATGCCCAAGATGCAATGAGTGTGATTCCAGACTTTATGGACACCTGTGTATCCTTTTTTTTTTTTTTTTAAAGATTTTATTTATTTATTTGACAGAGAGAGACACAGCGAGAGAGGGAACACAAGTAGGGGGAGTGGGAGAGGAAGAAGCAGGCTTCCTGCCGAGAAGGGAGCCCGATGCGGGGCTCAATCCCAGGATCCTGGGATCGTGACCTAAGCTGAAGGCAGACGCTTAACTGATGGAGCCACCCAGGCATCCCCAACACCTGTGTATCCTTTAAAGAACTTTGAGACACTTTATTAGGTAGAGGGGAAGTTACATGGAAGTTACAGATTCTGAGGTGACAGTGGCTAGGAGTTAGCTGTTACCTCTGCCCTCCAAGCTCATGGGGAGAGAAACAAGAGGAAGACGAACAACCTGAGTAAGAGAATGGCTGAGGGCCTCCTGTGTGCAAGGTACTGTTCTTGCCACTGAGTAGGATAAAAGAGGACAATTAACTTCTATCACTGCTACTAGTAAGTTACTATGCTGACTATGTATAAGGTGTAGTTCTAAGTAATCTACATGCACAATTCATTTAATCCTCACATCAACTTTTGGGTGGTGATACAAATACTACTTTTATTTCATAGATGAAAAAACTCAGGTGGTGCAGGGTCTCAGAATCAGACCAGGTTGAGCCTATGCTATTCATTATATCATATTGTCTATTATGAAGACCATCTGAAAATTATATATTTTAGATTTTTTTTAAAGTAAACTCTACCCCCAAAGTGGGGTTCAAAATCGACCCCAAGATCAAGAGTCGCATGCTCTACTGACTGAGCCAGCCAAGTGTCCCTGTATTTTAGATTTTTTACACCATGAGGAATTTTAAACTGATTTTAACTCTTTTTCTGAAAGTGAACCTGTCAGCTAATCTAAGTACTGATTCATCTAAGTAAGAAAAATGCAGATGACTTACTTAGACCACAGAGTGTAACTAAAGCCTAAAATAGGTCAAGTCACCTACCATTTCCTTTCCAAGTACTTTCTAACCTGATCTCGAATACAAGGCAAAATTACTCAAGGCAAGGAAATATTTTGGCATTAAATTCTGAATCACTAGGGCACTTTTTAAATGATTTCAATATATTAGTTTTAAAAAATGCTCCCAAAAAAGACTCGTAGCTTATATACCACAAAAGTTTGGCTCCCAGGAGAAAAATTTCTAAATAGTATCTGAAAAATCCTACAGGGTTATTAAATAATAATCACAGGAATTATTTACACTTAGAGGAATAGTACAAGCTGAGATCAGAGCAGGCAGAAATGCACAAGGCATTAGACTGCCTGTAAGAAAATTCTTACCAGTAATGGTTATTTAATAAACAAAATGAAACACCAAAGTCTTTAAAGACAGAAATATACTCTTATCTGTCTGAAATGGGCTGGGAAAATTGCTTTTGAACTGACTAAAAGCAAGAAATTTTCCAGTATTTTTATGTCTCTTAATTCCTACCTTGTATCCTATATTTCTTCTTTCCTTGGAAACCAGTAGAACGTAGTATGAAATCAATTGTACCAATCTGCTTTTTTTGAGATTATATTACTGTTTCCTATAGCTATGAATAACAGAAATCTTGGATATAATTTTCACAGAAAATATGTAACATACTGGTAAATTCACCAACATGTGAAAAAAAGATAACTGTAAGGCTCTAAAATCAGAAAAGTGTTTATCAATTACACGTGAATGGAACAAAAATTCTGGTGGTAATTTGACCACTTTCACTTTCTTAAGTCAGCTTTACAGTTCAATGCAATTTGTTGTGAACTGTTTCTGTGATTTGAGAATTTATGTAAAGTGATAATGATTGCATAGTTTATATACTCATAAGGTTTTCATGTCAAGAACACATATCAAAGTTTATAATCAGAGAACTGAGTACTAAATCTTTTTTAGGGATAATGTTAGAAGAAATAGTATACAAAGATTTTTCCAACTGTCAGATTTTTAAAATTAATTAATTAATTTTTAAAGGATTTTATTTATTTATTTGAGAGACAGCATGAGCCCCATACAGGGCCCCATGCAGGGCTTGATCCCAGGACCCTGAGACCATGGCCTGAGCCCAAAGGACACTCAACCAGAACCTCCTTCAATTGTCAGATTTTAAAGCAGTTGAGGAATCAATTCAATTGCAGAATAGGGTGGGTACAAATTATTTAAAAATTCGATTAACACTTGTTTTGCAAAAAAGTTTCAAATTATATTTTATAAAAGAAATTGATAGCTCTTGCTTTTCATGGTTTTATACTGCTTTAAAAATGTTTCATAGATTTAATTAGGAATATGGGTCACATCCACATATTCAATTAATCTTAATAGCATATAGTAAGTGCTGTACCAGTGATGTGAGTGAATAATTGTGTGGAGGTTACAGGGTGCAGACTGGAAAGGTACTGGAGGCCTCTGAGATGAGTCAAAGTGTAAGAGAAAGAACAGCATGAGTGTATGGGCAGTTATGGGTTTTTGATTATATGATCTCACGTATATAAAAGGCTAATATGTTCAGAGGCTAAAGTTAGCATTTCTTTTTTTTATTTTTAAGATCTTATTTATTTATTTGGCAGAGAGAGAGGGAGAGAGCATAAGCAGGCTGAGCGGCAGGCAGAGGGAGAGAGAAGCAGACTCCCTGCCAAGCAGAGAGCCTGACGTGGGGCTTGATCCCAGGACCCTGGGATCATGACCCGAGCTAAAGGCAGACGCTTAACCAACTGAGCCACCCAGGTGCCCCTAAAGTTAGCATTTTCTTTTTAATTGTAGCAAAGTTTTCAGTAAATGCAGATTATAATTAAGATAGCTATTAACCATAAAGCCCAATTATTGAAATATACCTAAAAAAATAATTTGAATCTGACTTTGTGTAAATATTTATCATCAAGGCTTATAAAAAATGTAGGCAAGTTTAAAAAAATATATAATACACACACATATAAAACATAAATGAACTACTTTATGGAGGCAGAATAGAAGGTTACAGTGGCTAAAGGAAAAATGAAAGAAAACATCTTACATTTACAGATTTAATTATATATTTTTAACAAACTCCATTCTTATCCCCAAATATAATTATTAATTTATATTATGATAGAAAAATATTTTAAACTTTCAGTTAAAAAGTATAATCACTATGGGGCACCTGGCTGGCTTAGTCGGTAGAGCATGTGATTCTTGATCTTGGGGTTGTGAGTTTGAGCCCCACATTGGGTATAGAGATTCATTAAAAATAAAATCTTTAGGGACACTTGGGTGGCTCAGTCAGTTAAGCGTCTACCTTCAGCTTTAGGTCCTGGGACCGAGTCCCACATCGGGCTCCTTGCTCAGCGGGGAGCCTGCTTTTCCCTCTGCCTGCTGCTCCCCCTGCTTGTGTGCTCTCTTTCTCTCTCTCTCTCTGACAAATAAATAAAATCTTTAAAAAATATCTTAAAAAAAAAAAACCCAAACTTTAGGACCCACCTAAAACATTAGGATTAAAAAATGGAAAAAGATATACTAAGGGAGTACTAATCAAAAGAAAACTGGTTTAACTATATCACTATCAGAAAACACTTTAATACAAAAAAACATTAAGATAAAGAATCTCAAAGCAGTGACAATAGGTTTGAGTCACCAAAAAAATATATTATCTCTAAATCTGTATTTATAAAATAATAATATAGACTCAAAATCTACAAAACAAAAATTGGCAGTACTAATTTTTAGAGAAATAGCTAAATACATAATCATGTGGAAGATTTCTCTTAATAAATGACAGCCTGATCAGACAAAAAAATCAGTAAGATTTGAATATATATGAAGTTTAATCTAATGAATACATTGTATTAAATACTGTACACAACAACTATAGTATATTTTCTTTCCAAACACATAATGACACAGTGCATTTTAAGAAATTTGTCTACCTACTGGGCCATAAAACAAATTTCTCAACAAATTTCAAGAAATTAGCATCATATAGATATTCTACGATTAGGCTAGAAATCGGGAACAAGAGAAAACTCCTACGGAAAAAAAATACACACAGAGATTAAGAAATACTTCTAAATGACTCTTGGGTTAAAAAAGAGATTATAATGGAAAATACTCTGAATTGAATCATAATAAAAATACCATATAACAAAACTTGTGGGATACAGCTAAAGCAGCATTTGGAGGAAAATTTATAACCTTAAAATATGCTTATACTGTCCAGAAGTGAGGCTGAAAATAAGCTAAGCAAAAGTAGGAAAGTAAGACAAAATAAACCCAAAGAAAACCAAAAGGGGAAAAGAAAGATAAGAGCAGACATTAAAAAAACAGAAAACAAAATACAATAGGGAAGATTAATGAAGTAAAACAAAATGCTCTTTAAAAAGATTAAAAAAAAAAAAAAACCTGACAAATCTCTGGTGAGAAAAAATCAAAGAAAGAAGAATAAAGACACAAACAACATGAGGAATAAAAAGGGGGAAATAATACATATTCAGAAGAGATTAAGAGAGATTACATTTAAGTAAATCTATGCCAAAAATTTGAAAATTTAGATGAAAGGACAACTTCCAACATAAATATAACTTTAAAAAATAATCCTATAATGATTCAAAAAACTGAATTAGTAGTCAAAAATCTTCTAACAAAGAAAACTCTAGGCCCAGATAATTTTAATGTTGAGCCATCAAATTCAAGGAATAAATAATTCCAAACTTATATAAATTATTCCAGAGCATGGAAAAAGAGGAAACAGCACCCAATTTCCTTTATGAGGCTAGTGTAACCATACACAGAGTAGAGAAAAAGGAAAATGACAGGTCAATATCAATAATGGCAGTAGATGCTAAAATCCTAAACAAAGTATTAGTAACTTATCCAGCAATGTATAAAAAAGGTATTGCATTATGACAAGGTTGTGTTTATACTGGGAATGCAAAGTTGTTTTAACATTAGAAACTTGACCATAATTCACAACATACACAGATTAAAAAGAAAAATGATACCATCTTTTCAAAAAAATGCAGAAAAAGCATTTTATAAAATTAACATCCATTCATGAGAAAGGAAAAACAAATCCTCTTAGCGAACTGGGAATAAGAGAACTTCCTCAATCAGATGTTAAAGGGTATCACAAAACACCAAGAGCAGGAGTCAGTAAACTATAGCCTGGAGGCCAATTTGGCCTACTCTCTTTCTTAATAGTTTTACTGGAACACAGCTATGCCCATTCATTTACATCTTGTCTGTGGCTACTGTCCAAGGGCACAAGAACTGTGAGAGACTGTGGGGCCTGAAAAGCTTAAAATATTTACTACCTGGCTCTTTAAACGAGAAGTTTACTGATTCTGACCTAAAGTAAACATACTACAACAAAGTCAGGTTGTGCCACTAATGAAATACCTTAGAAACATCTGCTTTTAACAGGTAAAAATACTATCTTACCTTTTGTAGAGTGTTAAATAGTGACTTGGAATTATTTTTAGAATTGGCCTGCATTGCTGTTTTATTTAATTTCAAATCCCTTTCACATCGTGCTAATTCCTTTTTGAGTTTCTCTCTTCGTTGTTGGTCTGCATCTGATGGGGAAAACAAATCTTTTAAAATAAAGAACAAAACAGAAAAATTAAGGTTTTGGTCTTGGAAGTCTAATAAAGGACACATTGTTTTTCTTACTAAAAATGTTTACACTATTGATATATAAATAAAAATCCACATACTTTTCTGTATAAAGAGAAGCTAACAAATATTTAATTTACAGAAACTTTAAGTGCATTATTTAAAGAGCGTAAACAAGATGTGACAAATTGGCTAAGCCTAAGAGCTCAAGAAAGCAATTTCTAGCAGATATTCAGAGATACTGAAGGTGAGAAATGCTTGATGTGTTTGTTGTGACTCTGTCATCACCAAATGCAGAGTCTGAATTAGTCCATACACTCTCCCCCAAATGCATATTATTGTCAATAACATCACATGTCATTCAAATTTAAGTTTTACAGACTTTAAAAGGATAACATTTTCAATTAGGATAACTGATTTCTACTTCTCTTAACTGCTATTCATTTGGAAATGTAAATGAAAAAAGTGGTTTTGCACTTTAGAATGCTTTAGGTCAGGTATTGAGTTATCAAAGATTTATCATTGTATGAAGGCTGAAAATGGTGAAATGAAACCTAGTCAAATTTCAAAGTTAAGAGGAGAGGAAAAGATGGTGAAGGAGTAGGGGACCCTATTCCAGCCGGTCCCCAGAATTGAGCTGGATATCTACCAGACCACTCTGAAAACCCACGGAATCAGCCTGAGATGTAAGAGGTCAGATCTGGATCTCTACAGACTATCACAGGCGGTTGGTTTCAAGGTACGAAGTGGGAAGCCGTGATCCTGGGGGCAGATATTGGAGGATAAACGGAAGGGGGAGGGAGCCGTGGTGATCCTACACTGCCAGTGAGTGATGGACAGGGCACAGACTCGCAGACTGGTAGCAGTGGGGAAAGGACTTTAGGGCAGCCCCCCAGACTGAAACCTGGAGTTGCGGGGCCGCGGGAGCAAATTTGGAGTGGCTGGCAGTTTTAGAAGCACAAAGGGCAGAGATGAGCCCCCATGCCCCACCTGGAGGTGAGGACTGGGAGCACTGCGGAGGGGTGCACAACCCAGGACGCTGCAGTTTATAGCAGCACAGACAGAAACGGAGATAGTGCTCACTGACGAACAGAGTGTGATCTCTCTGCTCTGAGGCAGAGGGTTGGAAATGATCTCTTCTGCTCTGACTCTCAGAAGAGACCCGGAAAGCCGCCAAGAAAAGCCACCAGAGAACAAAAGCCCCCCAAAAATGGTTTTCACTGAGCCCATCCCCCACCACAGAGGGCAAGGCAACTCTGTCCAAACAGGGTTGCCTGAGTAACAGCGTGGCAGGTCCCTCCCCCCAGAACACAGGCTGGGAGAACAAGAGACCAGTAACCCTAAGGTCCCTAGAAAACAGGTGCATCTTGCTTGGGTTCTGGTCAGTAATTTGGACACTCTACATTCCCTCAACTACCCCTCAACAGAATGACTAGGAGGAGCAACCCCCAAAATAGAGGAAAGACTTCTGTGACTTCTGCCACAGATTTACAAATGAATACAGAGATAACCAAGATGTCAGAGATGGAATTCAGGGTAGCAACTGTAAAGACAATAGCTAGAATGGAGAAATCAATTAATGGCAACATAGTCTCTAAGGGCAGAAATGAAAGCTGAACTGGCAGAACTTAAAAATGCTATCAGTGAGATCCAATCTAATCAAGATAATCTAACAGCTAGGCTAAGCGAGGCAGAAGAAGGAATTAGTGATCTAGAAGACCAATTAATAGACAAGAAGGAAAAGAGGAGGCCAGGGAAAAAACTCAGAATCCATGAAAATAGAATCAGAGAAGTAAGTGACACCATGGAACGTTCCAATGTCAGAATTATTGGGATCCCTGAGGGGGTGGAAAGAGAGAGAGGACTAGAAGATATATTTGAGCAAATCGTAGCTGAGAACTTCCCTAATCTGGGGAATGAAACAAATACTCATGTCCTAGAGGCAGAGAGGACCCCTCCAAGATCAAGGAAAACAGACCAATGCCCCGGCATGTAATAGTAAAACATGCAAATCTTAGAACCAAGGAAACCAGCTTAAGGGCAGTTAGGGGGAAGAGATTCCTTATGTACAGAGGTAGGAACATCAGAATAACGTCAGACCTATCCACAGAGACCTGGCAAGCCACAAAGAGCTGGCAAGACATATTTAGGGTACTAAATGAGAAGAACAAGCAGCCAGGAATACTTTATCCGGCAAGGCTTTCATTTAGAATGGATGGAGAGATGCAGAGCTTCCATGACCGGCAGAAATGGAAAGAATATGTGACCACTAAGCTGGCCCTGCAAGAAACATTAAGGGGGGTTCTATAAAAGGAGAAAGACCCCAAGAGTGATACAGAACAGAAATTTACAGAGACAACCTATAAGAACAAGGTCTTCACAGGCAACATGATGACAATAAATTCATATTTTTCAATAATCACTCTCAACGTGAACAGCCTAAATGCTCCCATAAAACAGCACAGGGTTACAGGTTGGATAAAAAGACAGGACCCATTCATATGCTGTCTACAAGAGACTCATTTTGAACCTAGATACATCCAGACCGAAAGTGAAGGGATGGAGATCAATCTTCCATGCCAATGGACCTCAAAAGGAAGCTGGGATAGCAATTCTTATAACAGACAAATTAGATTTTAAGCTAAAGACTGTAGTTAGAGACACAGAAGGACACTATATCATTCTTAAAGGGTCTATCCAATGAGAAGATCTAACAATTGTAAATATCTACACCCCCAATGTGGGAGCAGCCATCTACATAAGCCAGCTGTTAGCTAAAATAAAGAGTCATATTGATAACAATACTTTAGTTGTAGGAGACCTCAATACTCCACTCTCAGCAATGGACAGATCATCTAAGCAGAAAATCAACTGAAACAAGAGCTTTGAATGACACACTGGACCAGATGGACCTCATAGATATATACAGAACATTCCACCCTTCCACCCTAAAACAACAGAATACTCATTCTTCTCGAGCACACACGGAACTTTCTCCAGAATAGACCACATACTGGGTTACAAATCAGGTCTCAACTGATACCAAAAGATTGAGATTATTCCTTGCATATTCTCAGACCACAGTGCTTTAAAACTAAAACCCAATCACAAGAAAAAATTTGGCAGAAATTCAAACACTTGGAAGCTAAAGACCACTCTGCTCAATCATGTTTGGGTCAACCAAGAAATCAAAGAAGAACCTAAACGATTCATGGAAACCAATGAGAACGAAAACACATCAGTCCAAAACCTATGGGATACTGCAAAGGCAGTCCTAAGGGGGAAATACATAGCCATCCAAGCCTCACTCAAAAAAATAGAAAAATCCCGAATTTACCAACTAACTTTACACCTTAAAGAACTAGAAAAAAAGCAACAAACAATGCTTAAGCCATGCATTAGCAGAGAAATAATTAAGATTAGAGCAGAAATCAATGAATTAGAAACCAGAAACACAGTAGATCAGATCAACAAAACTAGAAGCTGGTTCTTTGAAAGAATTAATAAGATCGATAAACCACTGGCCACACTTATCTAAAATAAAAGAGAAAGGACACAAATTAATAAAATTATGAATAAAAGGGGAGAGATCACAACTAACACCAAGGAAATAGAAACAATTATTAGAAATTAATATCAACAGCTATATGCCAATAAATTGAGCAACCTGGAAGAAATGGATACCTTCCTGGAAACCTATAAGCTGCCAAGACTGAAACAGGAAGAAACTGACAACCTGACTAGGCCAATAACCAGTAATGAGATTGAAGCAGTGATCCAAAACCTCCCAAAAGACAAGAGTCCAGGGCCTGATGGATTCCCTGGGGAATTCTACCAAACATTCAAAGAAGAAATAATACCTATTCTCCTGAAGCTGTTTCAAAAAATAGAAACAGAAGGAAAGCTACCAGACTCATTCTATGAGGCCAGCATTACCTTAATCCCCAAACCAGGCAAAGACCCCATCAAAAAGGAGAATTTCAGACCGATATCCCTGATGAATATGGATTCCAAAATCCTCAACAAAATCCTAGCTAATAGGATCCAACAATACATTAAAAGGATCATCCACCACGACCAAGTGGGATTTATCCCTGGGATGCAAGGGTGGTTCAACATTCACAAATCAATCAATGTGACAGAACACATTAATAAGAGAGAGAAGAACCATATGGTCCTCTCAATTGATGCAGAAAAAGCATTTGACAAAATACAGCATCCTTTCCTGATTAAAACTCTTCAGAGTACAGGGATAGAGGGAACAATCCTCAAGTTCATAAAATCCATCTATGAAAAACCCACAGCAAATATCATCCTCGATGGGGAAAAGCTGAGAGCCTTTCCCTTAAGATCAGGAACATGACAAGGATGCCCAGTCTAGCCACTATTGTTCAACATAGTACTAGAAGTCCTAGTAACAGCAATCAGACAACAAAAAGAAGTAAAAAGTATTCAAATTGGCAAAGAAGTCAAACTCTCTCTTCACAGATGACATGATACTTTATGTGGAAAATCCAAAAGACTCCACCCCCAAATTACTAGAACTCATACAGCAATTCAGTAATGTGGCAGGATACAAAATCAATGCACAGAAATCAGTCTTTTTCTTATACACTAATAATTTAACTGTATAAAGAGAAATTAGAGAAATGATTCCATTTACAATGGCACCAAAAACCATAAGATACCTCGGAATAAACCTAATGAAAGAGGTAAAGGATCTATACTCTAGGAACTACAGAACACTCATGAAAGAAATTGAAGAAGACACAAAAAGATGGAAAAACATTCATGGATCGGAAGAATAAACATTGTTAAAATGTCTATGCTACCCAGAGCAATCCATACCTTCAACGCCATCCCGATCAAAATTCCAATGACATTTTTCAAAGTGCTAGAACAAACAGTCCTAAAATTTGTATGGAATCAGAAAAGACCCCTAATCACCAAGGAAATGTTGAAAAAGAAAAACAAAGCT